TTGGATAAATGTTTATGAGGCCTCTTTAATTTTCATAATGTCATTACGCAGCAAAGGTTTTGAGGTGAAGTTCAAAAAATATGAGCTTTTACGGTCGATGCAGTTATGATAAATCTAATCTTATATCACCCATAGTGCTAAAAGTAGGTATATTTTGAACGCAGTGTCCAACGTACTCCAATTTGCTGTGCATTATTATTTTCGCAGCAATATAATGGAGTTGCAGAAAACACACTGCAACAGGTAGTTAAAAATTAATCAAGTAAATCATCCAAATCAGTAAAGACAGTATGAGGTTTAGGTCAGAATTATCGCATTTAGGTCCGAATTACGTTTCGTGCGAGACTTACCACCAAGTCTTGCAATTTTGGATTGTCTGCAATCTAATTAAAAAAAGTTTGAAATATACAAACAATTCTGGAGAACGAACCTGTATAACACTTACGAGTCATTCTAAATAAACAACTATATTTTCATTGCACGACCCTTTTATGCATCTCGGATATCGTCTTAAATCCTGTGTTTTGACAAGCAGAAACAAGGATAATGTTTCGACATGCAATTTCACTTAATTTTATTCCAAAGTACTTGAACATATTATTTGTCGAATCAAAAGGTCAAATGAGGTCACGAAGATCAGAGCGATTTGTATTCGTTTTAACATCTCTGTGGCTTTTTTGTATATTTCTATTCCCCACACAAAGGAATGTCTATGTAACTTGACATTGGGAAATAATAACAATAAGCTGGATACCCAACTCAGTAGAGCATCACATACGGACCAGAACCGTTCGATTTATCATTTTTCAAGTATTTGAGCATGGAGCGTTTTTTTGTGGTGGTATAACTCTACATTCAAATGCGAATACATAGCAACGTCAGTGAAATTTGTGCCAGACAATTTTCGAACGTACTTAAAATTAATCTACTATCGCGTTGTTGTTCAAACGACCGTGTCCTTCTATGATTTTAATAATATTAGATGTGGTTTCACGTTTAATATAAAATTAATATCAACAAGACGCAAATAGTAAAGTGGGAAAATTTCACAGAATATTTTTACCTGAAAGAACAAACCACATAGCCGTAGTGTGTGACGAATTCATCAACCAATTCAAACTTCATGTCGAATACACCGCATTGTCGAGAATATAAAGAATTGCTTGATAAAAGCAACAATAACAAGAGAACAAAGATTCAAATATATAAACATGAAAGCTAAATGACTAGCGTAATGTCGTCGAAGTGTTGAAAGGTTGTACCGTTCGAATTTTAAAAGTGAGCCCGTGATGTTATTTCTAAATTTTAGGGTGATATACCGGCCCCATAGGACTAAAAAATGTCCACTTCATTACGAATAATCAAAATTGTCTAACAGCGACGTTATCATTCTGCCTTTTTCTTGAATTGTAATCTTTCAAATGATTCATTTGAGGATGAATGAATTTCAATCAAAGTTAGTTACTTTCAACAAATCGCTGATAATAATCAAGTAAACGGTATCTTCGCACTTCTGGTGATGGGATGGCAGCAGGGACTCTTCATCATAATCTAGCGGATGTGTGAAATTAGTGCAATATATCATATTGATCGGATGATCAAAAAAGACAGAAGCAGGGCTGTGGAGTTGGAGTCACGTTCCCACTGCAGTCGAAGTCGAAAATTTGATATACCCCGGTTCCGGAAATGCAGGGTTTCAATAGTAATAAAAAAAAGTCCAAAACTACATCAACTCAAAAAGCATTTATTATTCTGAGTGTCCCTAACTGTCTATTGAGGAAGGTTTCCATACGCCAAAGTTATCGTTATCAAAATTTGATTTCCTAGACTAGCTTTCATAGCTTCATAGAGTTTAATTCTTCTACGTCCAGGAGTCGTAGTCGATTGTAACTCTTGAGCTCTGGGCTAAAGAACATGGATTCGACAGATACGAGTCGCTGGAAGCATTTCCACTACCTTCGCTTGTCTTAAATGTCTTGTTCAAAAATATTTGTAATGAACAAAACATATCGACGCCCCGCTGTTCGTCTAAAGTTCCCGCGTTTGGTCACGTGACAACTTTGTTTCTGATACATTGAGAGCCATGGTGGTAGTTTCAAATAAAAAAAAATCGTTCTCTATTAAATCATGGCTAACAAACTCGATAAAACATAGATCATGAATAACCAATACAAATTAGTGTGTGGTATCCATGTGCCATGCTCGATAAAAAAATTAAAAAAATATTTTTCGTTGAATAAGCTATTTGCACAGATGTCCATTGAACAAGTTAGTACTTTAACTTTTCGCGACACTTTCATCCACTTTAAGGCACGAACTGGTAATACTATTGAAAAATATAGTTAAATAAAATAATAATTCTACAATAATCGCCCAATAAATTCAGATGCTTCAAGTTATTACCAAGATTGCTTAAAAATTGTGAACATTAGTATCTAATTTTAAAGACAATCAAGACCTGCGGTAGTCATCAGATGTGATAAATAACGTGGGAATTGCATGTTGACTTTACAGCATCTTTTGATACGGCAGACACAATACGTATTGATGCTGTTTGACTCTACACACCACAATGCTACAATGGCAGTGCCTATGCAGAAAATTTCGTTTTGTAAATATAGAAAGAAATAAAGGGCAAAATTAAAATAAGAAAGCGGAGATATAAGTTATATACCACAACGCTGTTATCTTATGCTGTAACTGAAGAAAATAGGTGAGGATTCAACTGATATTCTTCTTTGGGTCCGCCGTGAATATACATTATACAGGAGTGAAATTCATTAAGCTTCATTGGGAAAGCGTTTTAGAGCTTACATTATTCTAATAGAAATTCGATTGCTTTGATTCCATAAAAATTGGCTAGACAGCATGCATGTCACCAAGGCTACGAACACTTCCAGCGGCACTGAGAAAGCTGAATAGAGCTATAATTAACTTAGTTTCGCGTTTTATCTGGTTTACTCGATTTATATTAAAGATAAATTCCGAATATGAATATAGAATAAATCTACAGAGATGAGGTTCTCAAGCTGTCTAGCTTCAGGGGAGAACTTGCCGTAGATTCGTAGAAGTAGGCCTATCATATCTTTGTGAATGAATCAAAAGAACAATTTTAGCGTATTTTCATTTATGTGTTACTTTGTATAAAATATTTGCTTCGAATGCTGAGTGTATTTAATAGATTTATAGGTATAGCAATAAATTCAGTAAAGTAAAAATATCATGGAGAGAAAAACTAGACATAACCAATACGACAATGATATGAAAAATACTAGTCTTCATTTTCTATCGTCAACGACAATGCTTGTTCATATCATTACGTCCTGAATTTCGAATATCTAAAATCAAATATATATCAATATATTGCGATGCATGTCGTCATTTATGCATGGCAAAAACTATTCTACATATCAAAATAGTTTCAATTCAAACTCACGCGCTAATATGCCAAAGCTTGGAGTAATGAAGATTCCCAAAGTTTCCAAACACGCGAGGGTGGTGAATCACAAAGTTTATCATGATTCATTTTTGCCAGTTACATAGATAGATTACTTACCTTCTAAACATTTAATTAACAAATAAAAATTGGCATTTTGAGATGAACTATAAAACAGTCGCTTTGCTAGGTTTGACATTGTCCGTTTTATCATTAAACCATGTAACCGACAAAGTATAGCACTTTCTTAACAATAACTATAGAGTTTGGAATATCAGCGAAAACTGTTGAATTACCGCATAAGAGCGACAGTGACTGTGCCGAAATTAAAAGAAAATGATATTTCGAAACCTCTTTTTGTCGCAATTTCATCTTTTACTGAGGTTTACAGTAACATTACTGAACATTTTGAGGTAAAATATTTTTAGTTGTATTTTCTAATTATTAGATAGAATCACGTTCACGTCCTATGGAGTAATTGTATTAGCAAATCGATTTGGATGTTTTTAAAAAAAAAAAGGAGTCATCTGTACTTGTCTCTAAAATAGTGTAATTCCGTCTGTTTTTGATAAATAAACAAAATATAGTCATTTTTTTTTTACAATTAATAAACAATATATTGTACAATCATTCCAATTTGTTTTGCGTCCGACTCAATTCTTATTTGGCCTCAATATTTCAAAGCAAGTCGTTTAGGATAGCGCCAACTACCAGTTATTTTGACGAAGCAGTGCCAGGAATTTCAATCCAAACACAAGAAGTACTTCATGTCCTGTTAACTAGTGCAAGCACCTAACATCGAGATGACGGTGACACTCTCAACCGGAGCCGCGGAAAGTGAACTGCATCCGGTGTGCGCATACGTATTTTCTGCAGTACAGCACATTGTTCGTGACCGAGCGTGTATAAGAAATAAACTAAGCGTGTGTGCTTTAGTGAAAAGGAAAATACACACTCATACAAAAAGCTTACTCCACGAAAAATTAAATAGGAAACCCTAAGTAACTCACGCGAAAAATTTATCATGACTAAACTGAAAAACACGCGCTGGAAAATTCAGTAGCAGCTTTCCAGTAATAATTTGGTTATTGATTTCGAAACCGCTAGTTAGACAAGAAAGGTATCATTGTGTTTACTATATCAAGGTTTCTATGTTCTTGGCATCCTGCTCTGTGCTTTAAAAACAAAGGCAATAGAATGATATCAAGTTTTGTATAGATATGCTTCCTAGGTTTAAGAATTCTCATCTTTACCAGCGTCTGTTAAAAATCCACGCAGGTTTAGAATCGACGGAAAATGCTTCACAAGTCAGAAATAACTTAAGCTTAATTTGTGGTACCTGTGTAGAAATGCAGCATATTTGACATGCTAACCGAGCAAACAATAACTTTAGTATTTTGTTTTTTTTGTGAAGATTGTAATACACATTTAATATGATTATAAACTCAGAAGTCATAAATTTAGATTTTTTTTTTATAGAATCTAGTATGTATTTGTCGACATACTGTTTGATTCAATTCAAATGTCGGAGTCGCCGACGGACACGTCACCACCCGGTACGGTTGGTACTTGGAAACAACGTCATTGATTTTCCGTTCCTTGATACCCTTACATTATGTTCTGGCCTTGCATGTACTACAAATAAAACACACATTTTCGAGGCCTTTATTAATCCCCATGCATGATTACATTCAGCCTTTATTTAGTCATTGAAAACATGCCTAAAGAAAGTGTCGCTTTCACCACAGGAAATACTTTAGTCTATGGGGCCTATTAAAAGCTGAACGACTCACAGAATTTATTACTAGTTCTTATGGGAGTGTGATGGTGTTCGTTTACTCATACTGCATACGTTGATGAAACAAAATTACGAAAATATGGAAAAATGTGATGTGATGTTTTATACCGATCTCTTCTTTATTGGGCTTTGGATGTCAATTGTGGTGTACTATTCTGTAACGGTAAGCTACGTTTTTCATTGGAAGTTTTGTTAATATTTTTGAAATTTAAAAATTGATATTTTTGTATGCAAGTCCCAAGGAAAATTTTCAAATTTAATGAATATTTTTGTATATTCTCGATTCGTATTTATATCGCTAAGCGGTTGCATGGTTATAAAGAGTGTTTTATACGGATATTTTAATATAGAAGGGTAGCCATGAATAGCAGTTGAATATACGGCATATTCCAACGGCTTGAATAATATCTCATAGTCTATGCAAATTTATGCTATTTGTAATTTATTCTTTTCATAATAGATTCTAGAAAAATTATCCGTCTGTAAAACTACCGAGCGATTGTCTTCTGTAGTGTGTGCAGTACTCTTAAATGTACAAAAAATCGTGGCGATTTGATAATTTGGATTTTTCCTGTATTACTATTTAGAAATATGCGGTCTCTGAATATAGAAAAATGTTTTATGTGTGTGATTATCATAGAATATAATAATAGGTTAGGTATTACTTTTTGTTAATACAATCCCTATATATTATCTTCCAGAACAAGTACTCGACTCTAGTTTCAAGAGTTGAGAGGCCACCATCTGGAAAAGTTTTCATGGTTTAGAAAGCGACATTCAGGAAACTACTGATATCCGTGCTGGTACGTATGGTCGCTTGTTGTGGGCAATTCACATCCTAAATTCCCGGATAATTATTAGGTCAAAGATCCCAATGAAAGGTTTTTCATATGGATCTAAAATTGAATTATCCTCTATCAAACCGTCTTTCTATATATATATGAACAAAGTTTAGTAATCCAAACATTCGTGTATTGGCGAGTGCGAATGGTTGTGTACCACTCATTCAATTTGCTCAAAAATTTGAATATATACTATAAAATACCACTAATATTTATTGGGAACATTGATTGTCGATACATTTTCCGACTCCAGTGTAATATAAATATTATAGCGAACGCTACGTTTCTAAGACAAATATCATATCATGGTGGACATTTGTTTTAAAAAATTCCATATTTTACTTTGGACCTAAGAGTTATGGATTCATCCTATCTATTACACTAAAATCATGCCTAAAAACATATATTTTATAAAATGTAAACAACATGTTTTCCACACGTTTTTCACTACTAGTTAAAATCTGACGTCATATCACGTGATTAACTTTAGGCATGGTGCACGAATTTCGATCACGAAGTGTAGGTATACCGGTAACATGGTTGGAAACGTATGTTATGGAAAGCTGTGTGGTAAGACAACTGGATAATACTATTCACCAACACAGTTTTGTATGGCTGGGCTGCGAAACAATTTTCCCGATAATGTTTTCACTGTATGATAACGTTAATGAACTATAAATCTGGTTCCCGAGGTAGCCTTGTTATTTACGGTACCAGGTGGAAGCATATCGACATAATCTCGTACCGTGAGTAATAAAGCTTTCTCGGTGACAATTTGCAACATTCCCATGTAACAGAGCTTCCCAGGTATACCCAATAGTGAAGTATAACTGATTTAAAAGGTGTCTCTGACGGAGATATATATCGAACCTGGCGACATGAAACCGAGAAACAAGGTCTTGTGGTGCGCACGCCATCGAAAATATTTATGATATATATATATATAGGTGGAGGGTTTTTAGCTTTGTCATACGATAAGCTTTCATATATGTAATATATCGATAAAAAGCTTAGATAATGGTGTTTATAGCCTGACAATCAGTGCAACAGGTTTACCTCTGCGTGAAAAAGGATTCGATCATAAACGTAGTCTCAAAAAAATTACAATTAATTTTTACTTTTCGTCGGAATTCAATGGTACATGATGCCATTTGGCATGATGCCATTTTGTTTTTTGGGTTTTAATATATATTTTTCATTTTAGATTTTCGAAACACCAAAACGTTTGGTAGCATTACCAGTAGTTTTTTTTTAAAAACGTTTAACTTTATGACTCAACTTTTTTGTCATGCTGATACATCACTATTTTAATTTTATTTGAAAAAAGTTTATATTGTTCAAATTTCGTTTCGATTTAAGTTTCTATAAAAAATGTTTTTAATAACATGACCTTTCCAACAATGTGAAACTGTAACATTCATTTGCTGATTAATAGAATTTTGATTTGTTATCAATCATCGGGCATTGTGAAATTTGTATTCAGAACGATTTAAAATTTTACCACATTTTGGCGGGAATATTTGAACCTGTTCGCGCCAATTTTATCTTCTTTCGTTGCTTACTCTGTATTTCTTCCTACAGGAAACTACTTGGAGCAAAGTCTGGGAACGACCACGCAATACTGAGATTTATCGGAATCCAATACGGAAACCACTAGAATTAAGTATTGGTAAGTAATTTCATTAAATTTCGACGAATCACTGCTTGTTTGTTTGCGGTTGGTTGGGTTTTCCGAAGTTTGGGATTCAGGTTATGGTTGTTAACATTTGGCAGATAACTATTTTCCTGTAAAGGCTGTTTATCATAACTTTATTTCAGTACACGTATGGTTGGGAGTCTTTACCCAAATTCATGGCTCTAAAAAGTACCGGTACACTCACATTGATCATGAAAAAGTCCAACACACTCGGTGTCCAAAGGTATAGCTTCTCGGACGGATTTGGTATGCGTGTCAAGTCGCACGCAAAATTTTGTTCAATTATTTTGTCGAACATATTGAACGGGATGTTAAAAATCACTTACGCAATTAAATTTATTCGCTCATTCTAGCGTTTGTGTCGACTGAAAGCGACTTTTCCTATATATCCGGATGACATAACATTAACTAGTGGCTGTGAATATACCAAACTGGTTGGCATGCATAAGAGTTACATGCTCATGCGATTGCATGCTCCAATCCAAGTGCTTGATTGGTAAATATCAAGGCTAAAAGGATGCCCCTAACTATATTCATTTGAGAGCAGTTTTGCGATTTCGCAATCTTTATATGACTCGGCTTTCATTTCGGCTGCGTATACAAATTCAGGAAATAATATTTAGGGTTGCTACATTTGAACGAATTTCTCAAAGGAAACATGTGTTAACTTGAGCATTTCGCCATTTCCTATATGCCTGTTTACGCTTTCATTGACTACTGGGGAAAGTCTATGTAAAACTCTAGCCGTGCGATTTGAGTAACGTTAGAAACATTTGATACTGCTGCAAGCCATTGAACTTGAAGCTGTTCGATAAATAGGAGCTACCAAAATTGCAAATCTAAAACGCCATAGATTTTATACAATCATACTAATTTCGCTGCTAGATTTGACAGAAAATATTCACCTTTGGAGTATAGTAATAAAAATTTCGGTCAATTGTGCACGGCGCATATTGTCGTTTGCAAAATAAAAAGCACACTTTTAATCATGGAATATTTCCAAGTATTGGGTCCAAAGAAGTAATTACTGCATTTGTTATTTTCGTTTTCATTAACTCTTATACACTGCATACCATATTGACGCTCCTCGTCGATATGCGCAGAAACTCAATATATCAGCTTGGTTGTTATATCAACGGCCATAGCTATTTGTAGCATACAATATGCACATTTGGAAGTGGTAATATTAAAATTTTCACCAGCAGTAATACGATACTCGACTATACAATAAAACTGTGTAGTCAGAACCGGTGTGTCAAACAACATGACCTAATACATTTCTATGAGAAAATTTGAATGACTAACCCTGTCAATGCAAGGTTTTAAACACATCCTACCTTTTGAAGTTGCTGCTTACTTTTATTTTTGTATGAGCTTATATATTTGGCACTATATGAAAATGAGGCACATAATTGGCCTATGTCCTAATTTCAGCTTGGATGAATACGCAGGCCTGGGGTCTCAATAACACTATTCAACGACAAAGACTTTCTGTCCATTGGGCTGCATGCGTAACTGACGATTCTTTCAAATGCTTGAAGACGAAAGATTGAGAACCGCCCGAATAAAACAAATGGTGCTTTTTGAACCCGAAATCCACATATATGAAAGACGACATGTTGCCTATGCATAGCAACGGCAAAAATGATCAGTAACATTGATGTATAGTATAATTAATGTACGATGAGTTCTTGTTGGAGTAACACATTATTTTGTATTAAATGAATGTATTGAATATGGTTTTTAGTTTTCAAAATACGGGTCGAATTCTACTAATTCTCCTCATTGGGAGCCTCCGCACGCACTGCTTATACAGTGTGACCAGAAAGTAGGGTAACAGTTACTAATGGATATTTAATTAATTGCTACTGAACATCTGAGGACCATTTTTTATCGAAAAAAAGAAAGATGACAATATATAATATATATGTATAATATATATGTATATGACCTTGAATCATAAATGACAATGTGAATTGCACTCAATAAAAAAGAGGAAATATACATATATTCTTCTGTGAGGTGAATGCCGTCATTGTTTTTTGCTCGAAAAGCGTCTGTCGTGACTAATTATCGAATAAATTCTATTCTGTCATCATTGATAGAAATTGATAAGATAAATGTTGAGTACTCCCGTAGTATGTGTACCAGGTTAGAGTTGGGCCATAATTTTATTCCGATTTTCCTTATTTTAGTTCCATTCTAAGTTCTATTATAACTGTCTGGCCAAGTGAATATACTCTCTGCCCATAGGTTTCAGTCCATTTATACAACTTGATGTAAAGTAGGCGAACAAAATTAGTTACCTCCATAATATGGAGTCCATATTGGTATACACACTTCCTGAGCACCAAATGCTGCATTAAACAAATTAAATTTTTTTTTTGAGCCGATTTTTAATGGCATTTAAGCCGATTAAAACATGGATTCTCAAAGAAAAACGTAGCATTGCAAAATGACGGACAGGATAATAGCATTGTTTTGTGAATTCTTCTTCTTTTACTGTGCAACCACGCCTCTGTTGGTATGCATAATTACCATACCACGTCAATGAATTTCTAGGGGCGCACATTTTTCGTATACAAATTTTCGTGTTCTTAGATATTAAATACTCCGATATCAAAATGGATGACAGAAATAATCAGGTTTACAAGGAATTTTACAAGGCATTTACAATAGACTGACATAGGTGTGGAATATTGAATTAAAACAAATATTGGCCATGCTATGCCAAGCATTGGCCATGAATAGGACACACATATTAAAGTGAGGTTCACCTATGGCCCATAGGTAACTCAATACTCCAAGTCTTATGAAATATCATATCATATTTCATACAATACCTTGTAACCAATAGCAACCATCTGTCAGACTTCGAAATTTGAAGGGGAAATGTTCATTGAGCTTTGTAAACGAGGTTCTCCTGAGGTATTCTCTGTTTTGGGAACGCCGTCCAATTTTTCGGTAAGTAAATTTTTCCTCGTTTACAAAATACATTTTTGTGTGGTGTCATTCGTCGAGTTTATTGTAGACTATTTAATTTAAAATATCTTTTGTAATACATATCGCTAAGTTGTCTTTGTTCAACACAAAAGCCGATGCGTTTAAATACCTATGAACAAAAAGATCTCAATAACAACAAAAGTTAAATTCTCTTTGTGATTTATGAAGTAATGAAACATCTTTTATTTCAATTGATCAGTTCATCAGAGAGATTTAAATTGAATTACAAAAGTAGGAAGAAAAATTATAAGGTTTTGTCTACGATTGCAATAGTGAAATGAAAATATCATATGAAAGCTGCAAAGAGTGAGAGCCGCTGTAGTCTTGAGTTTGGGTACGCAAGTCAAATGAGTAAGCATTGCAGAAAACAAGAGCAGTTATAAAGTGAAACTGTTTATAAAATAAACAAGGAATCAAAATTATGAAATTTTTTAACGGATTATTCGCGCCAAAATCGAAAAAATAAACGCAAATTTTTTTAAACGCAAAAGGACGCAATATGAAACATAAGCTTTGGTATTTTACTTACATGCTTTCTTACATTCCGTACAACCTTATTTTTTACAAGATCAAGAAAAGTTGTCACGTATATAGAAATTTCTGCTGAATTTAGAAAGATCGAAAATTGGTAAATTATGAGTGAAATTCGTGCATACAATTTTTAAAATGAATTAGAACTGCGAGCCAAACGGGCGCTCCACTCTCAAGTAAACTTATTTCGAGCCAAAGGCAGTGAGTCGAGATGAACACAGTCAGTTATATGAAGCGATGTACAGGGCAACAAGAAAAGATTTGCAACCCGAAAAAGCCAGCTTACGTCTTATAGACAGATCATATTTGCTATTCGTTTTTTAATTCCGTTCAACAAAATAAGGACAGAGACATGCGCATTTTTCACGCAAAACTAGGTTGAGGGTAGAGAGCCGTTGACCTCATCGTGGTGGGAGAAATGTAATAAATCACACACGTTCACTTCTTTTTAACGGACAAATGAAACACTGCAGGCGCGTGGAATAAGAACTCTGCTCTCCCACCTTTGTGTGAAAATTATATCAAATCTCATTATCGATAATCGTTCTGTAAATAGCATCCCTTTTCAATAATCGAGTCCAATATGCTATTAGTGCCATCTGAGTATATTTGAACAGACACACAGATGGATTACAAATTATAAGAAACCACTTCATCACGAAACCACCAGTGAAAACAAACAGCTAATTTCAAACAATTTGGAAATGTGGAAATATCAGGTGGCGAGTAACCAAAGAAACGACAGTTCATAATATATAGCCTATGAGCTTAGATATAACAAAATTGGGTAAGAGGCAATAAAAAAATTTAGTTCCAAGTCAGGAAGGAATAAGAGAATGAAGTGATCAAAATAGATACAGGTTTTGAAAAATGAGAATAACTGGCCAATACTGCCCAATTCGTACTAATACTAGTGATTTCTCAAGGATGCTCGTCACACTACTATTTTGGAATTCATTTCTATATTTCCAAGCAGAATTCCTTTTTAAAATAAATTTCATTTAACGATGCAGTGGTAGAAATAGCCTAACCATGGCGCTGGAAGCTCATGCGATAAGAGTACCAAGCGGAGTACCGCCGGGAAATTTTGCTTCCAAATTAATAAAAGCTATTCACGTGGACAGTAGAAATCATGTTTTTCCTGCAGACGGACCCTACGCCAACGAAAGCAGGATGTCTTCGTATGGAAGAGGTTCCGGAGAATTCCCAAAAGATATTCGAGTAGAAATTCCATTGGAACATCCACATGAAGGAAGGAATAATCCACAGCCAACGAAGGTTTGTATGCCGCAGGATCATTTAAAATAAACTTTGCAATTGACATTTCCAAATATCCACAATCTGTTTCATAATTGCTCTTAGACGAAAAAATATATAGGCCTAGCAAATATTATCAATATATCTTCAAAATACTTAATTAACAAATATATACTGAATATACATAAGCGTTAAAACACAGATAGCAAAATCCGCTGACCTACGTGAGCTGAAAAGCATTGTGAGGGCTTTCGCAAAAATTTATAACAATTACTTTACATTAAGCAACTCAACAAGAGAGCAATGCTCAAATATATCGACACGATGTTAAAAGAAGCTTACTAGTTGTCATATGAAGGCGTGCACCAGATGTCATACAACCGTGCTGCCGTAGATTATAAAAAGCAAAATTTTAAGTGAAATATCGACGCGACTCGGAGAAAATAAAAATAAAATAAAATATTCAAATAAAATTTCAAATTAATCAGTCCATTAGTTCCGGAAAAGGGCGTATTTATCACAACAATGAAGATTTAAATGTTCAATAAATGAGCACAGAACATATATATATAGTAGCTAACCGATACCATTTGATCAAACTTGGAATACCGTCGATTACTCATCTTAGAAAACTAATTTCGAAATAATTATTTTGCGGGTCACTGAATATTGTAATGCACAAAAGAGAGGTCAGATACTCAATTCGTGGGCAAAATGGTTCAACGAAATATCTCGGAGTAAATGAAATACGATTCGATAGTTATGGGGAATGTGATATCCGATTATCAATCGACCTTCAGCTACTTATCCTAGAATTGCATTTTATTCACATATCTAGTTCTTATTGGAGGTAGCAGCATCATATAGTTCCATTGCTATTTGAATTAGACACATGGAACAAGGCGATCTAGTATTTGATGTAAGTATAATTTAAATAGTTTTAGTATTTTGGTCATTAAATAATATTGTGCATTTGAAGCGCAATTATTCAGCGTGAAATAATTGCAGTCTGTAAATATACATCAGGCAAAGGTAAAAATACTAAACACGTGACTTAGCAATGGCAGAGAGAACATATATGATATATCTCTTTTTGTAGGCACGGGGAAAAATTTTTGAGGAGATATAAAATATTTCAAATGTGCGAATAGTAATACTGGGCTATTTTTAAATATAATTGGCATACTGGGTACAAAATATAACTATTTTTTATACAGAAATTTCCAGAAAACGATTTCAGCGAATGTAGTATCATGAACCAATATAACACATGTGCTGTTATTGGGGTACATAGAATTTTTCGCAAATTTATTTTTTATCAGAATATTTGCTCAAGTCGAAGTCTCGCGCGCTCTCTCGGAAGAGATGAAAACTGATTTCTGAGTGACAAGAGCCACCAGACTATAAATATTTATATCGGCGAATTAATCACCAGCAAATACCGATTACAGTAAAACATCATCTGTTACATATTGTCATATGCCTGTACAAGTTCGATCGTTTTGTCACAAAATCACTTATCGATACCACAAATCAGTCAATAATTGAGAATCCCAACTATATGAAATGCGTCTTTGTAACGTAACAATGAAAGCAAAAGCAACTCGCGTTCGGGCTTTTAAAATCCGTCAACCCAGTTTAAATATTTGAAGATAATAAATCAAAGTATTGAAGTATATCCCGCAATTGAATAACTAAACATTAATTCATCATAATGATTTTCATAGTAAGACAGAATGTATATCACAGAAAAAGTCATACATATTAATTCAGTCGAGGCCTTAGAAAAACTACGCTATCGGCAGACGAATATCTATGGCCATGATTAACTTGTCTCAACTAACAAAACATACAAATCCCGGAGTACTATACCAATTCCTTTAAATTCCATCTTAACAAAAGCCAGACACCTCTCGAAGTCGTGTCAACACTCGAACAAAAAATGAGTTGGGGTCAAAGGTTATGCGAACCATTGTTTCCGACATTAAAAATTGCCACACAAGGCGCCTTCCTATAGACTCGCGCGTAAAGTCGCTTAAGTCTTTGTTCTTAAGGCTAATTTTACGTGTTTAGGCTGAGCCTATTGTTGAACAAAGTATAGAGTTTTGATTTGAAGGAGGGTATTGTTATATCAAACTAAAGTAAATAAGAAATTTCAATATACGACTTAATGTTTGCGAGTTTTCCTATGTTAAGTGTTATAAGCCCATCCTAAAGGGTTATTGTATGGCTTATTTGAAGGGTATTTGTGTGTTTACCAATCGTGCAAGTATCGAATGCCTGGATATAGATATCGTGACTGATATAAATTATATATTTGATAGAAGGGACCAGATAGCATGATGGACTCAAATAGGTTCATTTTGACATATCTAAGAGAATTACTAGAATAGATGCAGTGGTGCATTTAAATTACTAGAATAGAAAATAATTTTTTTTTTAAATTAACATTAATTGAATTATTTAGATATAAAATATGCAGAAATAGGTTGGTTGTTGTACAAAATAAAAATGTTTCTCTCGGGATCGAAACCGGTAAGTTAACGTATTGCTATAATACGCTAATTCCTTGTTATGTGTGCAGTAATCAATCGTAAAATTATTTATCCAAAATTTAGATTGTGAATAGTTCATCAAGTATGTGTCTTTACGTTTTTATTTTTAGCGTAATTCACACAGGGCATAGTTGCGAGAGCTTAACTGAGAGTAAAAACAGCTACGTAGCTATAACAGCTTTATATAGTATGGGATTTAAGAATTAATTCCGAAATATTGACACGAAACAGCGTTCATATTCCACGTCTATGTGGGTGCGTGAATTACCTTATTGGAATAATTCCATCCAGATTAGTCTTATAAAATCTGTAAACTAGAGTTAATATTGGTAAAACGTTCCACATTGTAAAATCGATTTGATACCCGGCGTACGGTGGCGGTTATGGTTTTTGAAAACGAGATTTTTTACTTTCGACTCGAGGTTACCTCCAACGCTCTAACACTGAATTTATCAATCACCGTTAATCAGCTATACTGATAATAAGAGCTTTTCTACTTTAATTTCGATATCAATTGCAAATCTGATGAATTTCAGGGTTTCATGGCTTGGAAGGTACCAAGTCGATATGCACAAGGTCGTGGAGATTCAAGAGAAGATTTATTCTTAGACGATATGGAGAGAGTACATACAGCTGGTTCACATTTTTCTCGGTAAGGGTTTGTGGACCATTTCCAGAGTTTCAAACTATTTCTATAGAATCTGACCAATTTGGTTTTGTATATCAGTGATAAAAAACAGGACATACTTTGTTATTATGAATTTACACAACTGCCTCAATACCGGAAACCTAATCGCGAAAATACCGAAATAATGACCATTGGACTAAATGTTCCTAATAATTATGAAGAAGCATAGAGTATTTTGCTATAATAACCAGGCATGTAGCATTGTAATAATAATATTCGTTACATACTTCCATGTTCCGATGATTTCTGAGATGTTTTTTGTTCAGTTTTGCAACGATTGATAACTATAATAGTTGACTTATTCATGGGCGATTCTATTTTGAAAAAACATTCAAATCTCCTTTTCAGTCCTCAGCATGGTGCAACACAGACGACACACTTTGCCCCGCCCCACGGAAAATTTGAGCCAATCAAATCAGAACAACAAGAACACATGGAAGAAATAAAGAAAAAGGAAGCCGCATTGAGAAAACATCTGGCAGATAAATGTCTTACTTGTAAGAATATATTGATGCTATGAAAAAAAAGCGACAAAAAAGAAAATACCAAAAATTTCAACAGCAGTCATTATATTTACCAAAAACATTATTCAAGTGGTGGAGTATGAAACTTATGTGACATCACACTCCTGGTTACGAGTTTTTTGTGAAGTGCGATCAGAAACAGACACACATATAATACGAATGAGAAGTGGCAATCTCAATAAATTGATATATATATGAATACTGCATTATCCAGCATTCCTATATTAGTAAAGTAGGGTAGGGTTGATTATCAAAACAAAATTCCATCTCTAAACATTTACAGTACCTAACATAGCAAGAAGCGCCCCTGTTAAACGCACCACAAGAAGTAGACAATCGGACCGATTGACTCTCGAACCAAGAACTTATTCTGCTGCTCAAAGATGGTTGAAGAAGAATCCAGGACAAGAAGAACTTGCGAATAAGGTTTGAAAGTTACACATCACCCAGTCTAAGATGCTTATTTTTTAATATTATCATGAATAACGTGATAAAAAATTTCTGTAAATTTGCACACGACATATAGTTGTGCAAAGCGGGCTTTCATATAATTACCAATTAGGATTGTTTTACTACAATGATACATGCATGTGTTATTTTTAGGTCTTACGGCAGACCAGCCGCACGGAAGTCGACAAGCTGCTTGAACATACTTTACAACCAAACGCAAAGAAAGCAGTCAGAGAGTGGCTCAAAACCGCGTCAGAAGCAGGTAATTTTCAATGCATAAAAATGTTTACGTAAAATTACCACGGCCGCCAATTACCATTTATCATTTGTCTATTCAGACAGACAAGCTGCCTTGAAATTTTTCCGGTCAATTGGTGGAAGCAGGTTACTGGGAGGGCCAAGTGGTTATCACCCAGACCGTAACATTCATGGGGACAGGGATGCGAGATTAATGGCAGTGATTAATGCTTTACAAGAAAAACAGTAAGTTTGTTTTGTTTGTTTCTTCCAATATATCCAACGACCTGTTTCCGGGCTTGATACGAACACTTATCAGTGAACATTTTTTCGTAATAACAGTCAAATTTCTGAAAATTTTTACAAATTATTGGAGTTTTGGAGTACAGCGCGTTTTTGTGATAACACAATGAACACAGTTTTTTTTTAAACGTCATTCTGTTAATTTTATTCAAAAATTAAAGTTCTGAACCAATTTTCCCTAAAATTTTAAATTGTTACTTAGCGGACAACCGAACCAAGCAAGAGCAACAGCAATGGACGATAAACTGGCAACCTTGATGAAGGCAGCTCACAGAAAACATCTTAGACTGTTATCGCCAAACACTAGAGTCCGAAGGACTGAATTTCAGACATGGCACCACATGCCGGTTCGTATTGGACCTTTTTCGTTATAGGCATTGATTACATAACAAAAGCCCGTTGTGTCCCTCGGATAAAAGTGCAAAGATTACCGATAAATTGTCGAATATTTGTCACGGCAGAGATGACGGTATATCCCAGTGGAATTTAAAGGCATTCAACTAGAAAGAGGCAAAATTTTAAAAAGCAGGAATTATTCTAAGCTTGATGGAATCGCACCCTTTCATCCTTCAATACGTGAACTAGTAACATGTGACACACTGATGTCTCCCCATCACTTTTAATGAACCCATGGCATGGAATTAGCAGATACCTGAAATATTTTAGCTACAGCATTCAGCCAAATTTTGACACACTAAGCACGGTTCTTTCAACTCACAATCGTAGAAGGTACATATCACGCAAAATTGTATATTTTTCAGGTATATCCGTGCACAGGACCGGTGGAAAACGTATTGTCAATGTATACAAAGCCTAGAGCACCTTATCCACAAAGTTTCCGAATCCATCCAGAGTGGGGAGCGTAACTCATAAACAGCAATATAAAAACGTGATAATAGCAAGAAAATTGGGGAAATAAAACATTCTTTTTAATTCAAAAGACAGGAAACTGGTGTAGATAGTGGCGATTTTCTTATTTTTATAACTAAAAATGCCCAAATTTTAAATTAGGACATGACATATATAAATATATGCATTGATCACAAATATTTTCCCATGCGATTTAATATTCAGTGTCGAATTGTCAATTTTTTTTACAAAACTGTTTTACTTGATCACAGCAAAATGATTGAACTATTCCTTTCAGTCGTGCTATAGCATGTTATGCAATGATAACACATTAGACTTCGACTGTTTCTATTTTTCATACTGTAACTCACACAAATTCATGTTGTATTACTATAATTTGTTTTGAATATACAGTACTTTCCGTCAAACTATGTTTTATTGGATTTTATGAAAACTGCACTAGTCCATTCAATCTTACCACAATGAAAATGAAATTAATAATTTTTTTAAAACGTTTTATTTCATTAAAATAAAGTATATCAAAAAGGATTAAAAAGTGTTGACTTAACTGGTGAAAAACTTATTGCACATATGGTGACGGATTTATGCAAAGCTTAGTCTTCTTTCAAGACTCCGCCTTTAACAAATTTCACAGCTGATAAGTGTAGTGCAGAGGGGGTTTGAGCATTTTTATCATTTCCGCGTTCCTTCGAGAAGTTTTCAAATTGACTTGTCTCGGTATCATCACAGTTTATTACAGGTTTTACTAGCTTGCTGGCATTACTCTTTCTGGACTTCGTTGCATCAAATTCTGAGCTTGAATTGCCAACATTTTCGTCAGGCTTCTGTCTATGTTTGAGCGCGGCTGGGTGACGCGAACGTAGAAAATCATCGCGATCGTCAATGTTTAATGGTTCGTCATACTTAGTTGTTATCACTATACCGTCATCTATACCAGGTACAGCTTGTTTTCGAGATTTTCTAGTCCGCTCTTTGTAATCGTTATTAGCGAGATTGAAAGCAAATTGTGGAAACATCCACGAATGGGGCGCATTTGGCTCAACTGAACGAGTTCCACGAAATAAAGTTGGTACAATTTTCGCTCTAGTACTTCGTCTTACTGTACTTTCGGTATCACTGAAAGTAGAAGATTTCAACAATTTCTCACCGTGATAACCAAGACCCTTCCGCAACCGTGGATGCTGCCCTTCTAACTCAATGGGGTCAGTTATAGCACCTGACCTCTGACCTGGACCCAAAGGATCGCCTTCTTTCCACCCACCTTTTTCTAATAACTTCCTACCTACACCTTTTGTGTGTCTTTCGAACTGTCCACGTCTCTTGGATTGAGGACTTTCAGAGCGGCTCCTTTTTTGTTTTCTTTTTCGATTGTGTGGATTCAAATCAGTCAAAAGTGAATTGTCATAAACTGCTTTTCCATTCCTGGGAAAAAAAGAAAAATTATTTCAGAGTTCATTTGGTTATTAGGATTCATACAATATAAGCACAGAATTGTTTTCACCCTGCTAACCCGTCGGGAGATTATCATTGTCAAGGGGATTGTTTAGCTCATCATCATCATAATCAACAATTCTCATACACAGTTTGGTAACAGACAAGAGGTTGTGATATGCTCAGAAAGTGTTAGCAACGCACTCGCCTTTGCACCTTTGATTACCCTATGTAAGTTCGCAGATTCAAGTCGAATGGGTATGTGTGAAAGGGGATTTCAGGGCCTTTCGCCATATAGGGTGATTCATGTATCTCCGAACATGGCTTTCTTTGCCAGCGACTCCATGTTTCTGAAACCAACAACTAGTCAACTGTTCCAAAACTCAACATGATGTGGTAAAAGAACAAGTGGCAGTGGTTCGCCATTTGACTAAGCTCATTTATCAACCTTACTCTCCCATGGATGAAAATCATTTTATACTGCATACACTCCTCTGAAGCTTCCATGTACCCATTACGAAAAAATATGTAAAAATTCCAACCTTCTTTCTCTTCTCATTTGCAGATACTGTTGAGCATCCATGTCTCCTTTCTCTCCATAATAAATACTCATATCAACATCCCAATCATCTGTTGTTTGTTCATCAAAGTCACCTTCTTGTTCCTGCCAGTACTGAGCATCTGTAAGAATTAGATACTTTATAATATTCTTTTGCTACACACTAAATGACTATATGGCAATATTCTATATAACACAATATTGTAAAAGTAAAAAATAAACCAAATATTTGTATATGTCCAATATCAGTAACACATAAGACATAATGCGGTGGAATACCTAATTCTAGGAACTAATCACAATTTTTCCATTTCTAGACTTGGCATTTTTGATTTTCATGAATATATGTAGATTTTTGCAATCATTTCATTTTAAATATTGTCTAAATTAAAAAAAATTCGATATTTTGGATTCGAAAATAAATCTTCATCCATAATGCATTCGAAGAAGTTACTTTTTTCTCTGCTCACATCCGATTCTTCACTTCAGACAAGATAGCAGTTATACGATGCAACCATATTAAATGCAAGCCGCTTTTTACTATCATGCATATTATATACTGCTTATTATTTACAACTGCTTGTCTGAGGAAGTCTGACTTTGGTTGGACGCAACGTTACAAAAATACATTTGTGTTAGCGTACGGCTGGACTCTTTAATTGGATAGAATAGTCATGTTTATTCCAGCTACAGCATCCTTGCAGTATACGCTTACGGATCCACTAGCATAAAGGCATAGAGGAAAGATAGGCAGTTAGTCTCGCGCAACCCAATTCAAAGATGCATATTATATGCTACGATAAAATTGACCACAATCGATTCGAGGTCTTGCTAAATATTACTTAATACTATTAGCATTAGGTCCAAGTCATTCTAAAATAAAAATATTACATAATTCTTTTTATATTCCATGTTTTAATTTTTGAAGATATACATCATATTTACAGAGAGACCAGATTATACCTGTATAAAACACTAGTCCGCTTCCACCTTTCTCCCATTTCAATTCAATTTCTTCCTCGAACAACCGTTCTTTATCTCGTTCCTGTGAAGTAACATCATTATGAAGTGCTTCATGTCTTTCCCATTCTTCACAAGTATCATCATCTGCATCTGGGTCTGATATGTGACCTTTAACACGAGGTATAGAAAAATTTGAAAAAATTGTTATACTATTGCACAAAAACAAACTCTAAGATTCAGATTACGGTTATCTGGAGTACCAAAAACAAAGCTAGTTTATTGGTTCTCGCACACTCAAAATTCAGTCATATTCTGGCTACTTATTCAGTACCTGCTAGGCAAGTTATTCTATAGTCTATATCAGGGGTGTGCAACACTTTTTGTCTGTGGGCTGTATACCCAACTTAAGACATCCAGTCGGACCACACAAACAATTTAGTTTTCACATGCAAGAAAGACAAGAGAAGAAAGTACGATTATTGCTTAGGCTTGCAGTAATAAATGCACCGACCAAAACAACAAAAGATTGAACGAAGCGACAAGAGAAGAAAACATTTTGTATTTTTTTCCACATGAGCGACTTTTCAAACATAAACTGTCGTCATTCAAATTTTATGCCTGGTGGGGGAAAATGTACTTAGAAGGGTCACAATAAATGTCTTGGCGGGCCGGAATACACACCCCTGGTCCATACTATGGAGTTACTGCAAGATAGATAAAATTTGAGAGGCAAATAAGCAAAGGGTGTAGCATCTATACCTCTATATCCACACAGCTGCAATTTGGAATCATGGACTGAACGAGTTTTCAACCTGCATCTAACCTGGTTGAGGAAAAAAGAATATGGCGGACATCTCTTTCAATTATTACAGATATATGAACTTTGCTGATCAAAGAAGCATTAATAGATAGCGGAATCCAACAATAGCAAGGATACCTATTACCGGAAATATACCATGAAAGTGTAAACTATACCCGGATCAATTTTAGTTTCATCTTTTTCATGCAATAATGTCTTCTCTTTTTTGGATGTCTCATCTGGAAAAATATAAATAACAATATTTTTAAAAATAGTTCAAGTAAATAATAAAATTAAAACAATCTTACAATTACCATAATCAATTTCAGCATCAACTTCAATCGCTTCACCATTTGCAGTATACGTGTTTCCTCCAGAATGTATCTTTTCCCATGCATCAGCATATTCAAACGGAACATTTCCATATCGTCTCAAACTACCAGTCGTAGGAAATTTGAGGTCTAGTTTCTTGATAATCCTAAAATAGACAATAATAAGATACCAACTTTAAAAAATAGTTGTGAAATGTATCAAAATAAAGTTCAGTAGATGCAGAATTAGTACTCAATTATAATAGGCAAAGGTATGATAAAATGAAAAAATAGCATAATTTTCTATAATTCATTTGAATGATATTCCCAATTCGTAAAAAATGTCATCTTCCTCACCTTGGTGGAAGCTTACATTGGTTTATCAAGTCCATGAATTCTCTAAGCGTAGTTCCTATATTACCCCGAGGCATGACTTGTATTGGTGGTCTCATCTCAGACAAGGACATTAGATCGGCATGAGAGAAGTTCTCTGTCGGTGCATGTCGTTTGGTATAACCCTTTTCTGCTCTTGTAGAATATGTTCTAAAAATGACCATGAAAAATTAATTATTGTGATTGGGAATAGGTTTTTTTGTAATGCGTAATAATATTTGCATCCTTGCACATTATGTTTAGGACAGTTTGCTCAAAGCAAGGTCTCACACACTCAGTCAGAGGAAGACTAATCTCTCATAAAGTTATAGAGAACCAGTGAATTTTGAGGGTTGATAGCTTTTTTCTAAATTAGAATTAGGGAAGGAAAATTTGTTTACATACAATGAGACCGCATACTACCATAATGATATACGAGTATAATAAAATTTCTCACCCAAGTTGATCATTAAATTGACTGATTGCTATCTTTTCAGTTGAATTCACATGTGAAACTCTGATTTTATGAATGACACAGCGAGCCTGAAAAAGATGTCATGAATCAATAAAAAAAAATATAGAATGCAGTCATAAATACCTAGCTAAAAACTGTCCTGTTTCAAACATAAATACAAAATCACCTGCCTCCAGTGTCAGATTCAAATTATAATTAATATCAATAAATACATTGGGCAATTTAAAGGTGCAGAAGTGTAAAAAGTACATTATGTTTGAAACACCTTACCAAACAACAATTACCATGAATATTATTAGGAATAGAACATGATTTTTCATTCTGGTGGAGAACGAAGATGATCATTGAACAGCTGAACAGACAAATTAGTTTGGATATAGATATGCCCTTGACGGTTGTACAGATTTGGATGAAGGAGAGAATCCTAACCGACTAATGACTAGCGATTTATTGAACTTCCCCACCAACCAATGGGTCCAGAAAAAAAATCTTACCTTGATATAGTCTCCCTTCGAATCAATCCAATTCGCATCATTGTATTTTTCAATAAAGTCTGCCAATGCATCTTTATCAACCGTTTGAAACACACAGCAACATGTTCCAGTTTTTTGAGGTTTTTGATCTACAAAAACATTTTTAAGACAGGTGTAATTAAGTAACGATGATTATTGGCATTTGCAAAGGGGTGAAATCTTACAACCAATGGAATAATACCAGAAACTATATGAACATCAGAACATTGAGACATTTATGAACAAATTAGCCAAACAATTTTGTCTTATGGTAATACAGTAATATAAGCATGCCAACATTCTTTCAGTCTTTGGTATTAACAAAAGATAAAAATTAAGTGCTTTTATTTTATATATGTCTAATAAATTTACAAGTGTATTTTTTCTATAAAAGATCCGTTCAATATGTTATCAAGAGATTTAGAGATATCCTTACCTGTACCGTTACCGAACATAAATGAGCCAGATACAGAAGTAACAGAGAACTATCTACGGTACAGTACTGAACTATGATTCTACCGTAAACGGCACGGGTATCAGTACCTACTGACCTATAAAGTTTTAATACTTTATTACCCAATTACGGTACCGGTATGGTACAGTAATAGCGGAAAAAATTAAATTTATTTGAATTTTACGAAACTAGGATATTATTCTTACCAACAGCGGAAGATTTTGGTTTCGCAACTTCTGGTCGATGTTTGAAGTGGAAACATTCAAATTTTCCATTCTCGGTAAAATCAGAAAAGAAGTTTCTAAGATCGGAGGAATGGAAAGCTCCTGGTATATTTCGCACAACTCCGAATGACGAAGTATCTACATTATACGAAAGATCGTCTGCCATTCTGCCCAGTCATTTGAACGATACGATAAGTTAGCACTGAGAAAAATAAAGGCAAGTTACCATGTATAATATTACATACTAAAATTTCGTTTCTGTCAATTTGTTTACATCGTTAGAGTGTGAATCACGTGCATGAGTGATTTTATTGTGACGTCAGAGTATTTTAAATCCTTTCTCTGTGACGTCATGTAGGCTTTCTAAATTTTCATAGTCGGATCGGTGAAAAATCTGATAAGTTGTATTTTGTTCTGATTCAGATGGCTTCGGATAAAAATGATGATTTGCTGGATTTGTTAGTTCAAAATCCGGATTCTCTTAGTCGGGAGGATTTAGAAAAACTATGTGAAGCAATTAGTAAGGATACGTTAACAACTGAAATCGGAACTACAAGATCTGGCGATCTTGTCACACCGTTTCATGGCTACGTTCCTTCAAGGGAATCATGTACACAGCCCGTTTGTGCGAGCGAAGTGCTCGCTGCCACAAACTCGCTGGTAGATTTAAATCAAAAAGAAGATGTCGAAAAACACTCGACCCACAACATCTTGCAGAGTTTGACAACAAATACTCAACAAGGGATTCGTTCATTAAACACCGGTCCAATAAGCTTTCGACCGATAACAGTAAGCATTCCACGACAGAGACCGATTTGTTCAATCCCTCAAGTCTCTTCTAGAGACAATTGCCATACTTTCCAGTATGCTTCTAACCATGCTACCTCATCTGCGGAAATGAAACGTCATCCGGAAAAAGAAAACAGACCTCAAATTTTAGCAAAACGAACGGGTGAGTTTATGAAAATTTGATTCGTTTATTTAATTGTTTAATTATTTGTGGTACGTATAAACTCTTACTGATAGCTTCATACGCTTAATCTCGCAATTTCACCCCATTGCGATGTTGTCATTTTGCTTCTCAAGTGTCCACGAAGTGGAAATAAATTTAACCTCCATGACCCTATTCATAAAATCTCTTTTTTTCTAGTCAGTTATGGAATCGGCGGGAGTAACCCCCAATACATACATGGATCAGGAACCTCCATGACTTTATTAATCGTGCACACTAATCCACACAAAACAATGACTAAACAATTACTTTCTATTATATTCTTTTTGGTTTAAATGTATCATAGTGGTATTAATAAAATCTCCTTTTCTCTAGCCAGTAATGGAATCGGCGGGAGTAACCCACAACCAATTTACGTAAAACATCTTGAAGATGACGACGAAGTCAAGATAGCGACTCTGAGAGGAGTTCCAGGTAAAAAAAAACATATATTTTGTAAAAAAAATCATTATTAAATTTACTATTTTCCACATAGCAATGGCATTTTGAGTTGCTATATGTTTTTTAGATTAATCAATGTTATCCAAACTTATTCTAGACAAAAACGAAGAGAATGGAGCTGCTGTAGGAATGCTGGTTAATCATCACGGAAATATGGCAATCGCATATCCAATCGGACCTTATCACTCAAATGTATTTGAAGATAACTTGTATGGGTATCGCAGAATGCAAGTTAGGTACACAGTTCCATGTAGCGAACAGGCGGTTGCAACTACCACATGGCTGATGGAAAATTTTGAAGAAAATTTGATGACGACTGTACCGAGAAGCGTCATGTACCAGGTTATGTTACTTACGCTTCCGAGACAATTTTTTAATAAAATCAGATTAAAGAATTTAAGTAAGTGCCTCGATAAGTGAGTCGTTGTAAAAGCTTATAATAATCATTCATTTCTGAATTCAACCCAATTTTTTCTCACGTTTTAAAACAGGAATATGTACGGTATTTCGAGAAAGACGGAAGATTCAGACATTTCAATCAAGCAGTATTCGGCAAAATGGTCAGGTCATGCTTCCCAAATTTAACTACTCGACGTCTGGGTATCCGTGGACATTCAAGGTTGAAGCTACAAATCAAAATTCTTGATTAAAGTCAAATAATTCTGAAATTACGCAGAAGTACTTGTGCCAACTTTGTTTAAAAATCAAAACTTTTTGCACTTTGCTCATTTACTTACGTTATTTAAATATTCGATTATATTAACTTTTCCTGCTTTCCAATCGTTTTTAATTTTCAGGTACCACTACGCTGGGCTGGGTGTCAAATCAAGCTCAATATACGCGAATCATGTATTTGCTAAACTTGAAACGAACGTTGTTAGAACAACAACGGGGCATAAGTAAGTTATACTACAGAGTTAATCTAGTCCTGGGAGTCACAATACAATATAGTCCCACTTTATTATTTTTACATTACAACTAAAGTCTGTTTACTGGTTTTTAATTTATTGTTCACATTTTACTTAGCACATTTTGTTTACTTATATAGGAAGCAAAACAGTCGAGGGCAGATGAATGTTGCAGCTAATGTAACAGTTGAGTGTTGCGAAGAGCAGGGAAAGAGTAATAAATCAACGAAAAATATAGAAGTCGAAAAACCAATCCCGCCAAAAAAGAACAAAAAATCAGGTTTTAATCTTTTACTCAGTTTGGTAAGTAACTTCGGAATACACAAATTGGAAGAGTGCTATCTCTTTACTTTTGAACAGCATCTATTTGCTCTAGATTTGAAATTAATATCAATTTTATAGGTATTCCGACTGTATATCCAGGGATGAGAGAATTGAAGCCGATTTTGGACATCGATCATACGCGTCTCAACTCATTTTTAAATTTCTATAGCAGATATAATAAGCAATTCCTATCGTATATTACTGCACTGGATCACTTGAAAACTAAGGTATGCATATGTAAAATAAACATAAAATTTCAATTATGTCCAATAATGTAACTTACCTTATTAAAGGAGTAAACTTTTTTTTTCTATTCTGTACAAAAGCAAACAATGGTGCATGCACATATGCGAACACTGAATTAACGTATATTTAAATTTAAACCCTGTGTCATTCTGCGCTTAAATTGCCACAAAATCCAAACCCCGAAAAACTCATATCATTTGCAAATACAACGAATCGCATTGATTCATAGAATCGAATTTACTGAAAAAATTCATGTTTGTATATTAGGATCACCTGCAGAACTTCACGGTATACTTACCATATGACTGTACGGATTTATTGCAACACCCAACTATTGTGGATATCATAAAAATCTATGATACAATATTATATAAAAAAGCAACTGAAAATCTCCTACCAGATTGCTTGGCTTCTCTATCTACAGATTTCAAAGGTACGTTATTAGAAATATTTTAAAATTATTATCCCGATAATATTATAAAATATTTTGCAGTCGCAGTTCGGAAATTTGCAAAAACTTTTGTACAGTGGGTGCCAGATGCGACGGCCATTTGCGACGTGCCTGACGAAGTTCATGAGACTAGGGTCGGTGCTGCTACGGCTTGGGGTGATTGTGTCAGACGAATGACGACATTGTGTCACGTGGCAAAAGAAGCGCGAAAAGCTTTACGAGATCATGGACTAACAAAACAAGTGAGTTATGACTCGTTCGTATGTAAAAAGACGTGGTACTAAGATAGAATTCTTATATCCATACGGTAAGATGGGAGAACCGACAAGACGTCTTAATCATACTACAAACCACAGCCTTCCGCCCAATTACCAGTTCATTATTGGAAATGGGTTAGTTGGAAGATTTTCGTTTCAGATGTATGGACTTGGCGGTGGAGGAAGCCGTAACGTAATCCACCCTATACATCGAGTAGTTCAGCAATCCTCTTGCACATAAATATCCCCGCCGGGTAGAAAGCTGCGAAATTTGTGAAGTACATAAACGTAATATCTCTCTAGTAAAAAATACAATTTTTAACCACTGAAAATTTCAAAGCAATTGGTCCAGTAGATAATGAGAAAATATATTTTTTCATGACAAGAACAAGAAACTGAATTCTAACAACAACAACATAATAATAATAACAAAACGATCTATATGTTCACTTTAAGTTCAAAAAATTCCTGTAATAGAGTAAATTTATTGCAATTTAAAAAGTTCAATTCGTTCACATGTCTTCCTGTGAGTCTGGATCGCAATGTGGAGACGGTAAGCCCCGCTAAGCCTAATGCTCTTTCTGATACAGCGGATTTGGCTGAGACACAGAAGTACTGCAACAACTGCGATATTTGATAAGTTTTTTTGTTCCGTTGCCGTTGACACGTGTCCTTCACCCGCGCAAACGAGCGAGTGGGAGGAGAGTGTGAAAATATAGTGAAGTTTGCGGCGTCGTAGAAACTCCACATAGCAATTTATAAATTATGTGAAGGACTTGACACAAAACGTTATACCGTGTTTGCAACCAACTTTTAACCCTAAGAATCGATTCCTATGCATCGAAATCGATTCTAGTCGATTCAACTATGAATCGATTCCGGAGTCGATTCCCCCATCCCTATTCTTAACCCAACCCTTAGACACATGGGCCAAACGCCGAGCCACTGAAAAAAAAAGTAAATCGGCGTACTACGCAGATTTTGTTCAGTTTACCAATATTAAATATAATAAACTTTCTTCCAGTTACGCGTGGATTTGGAGATGATATCAATCGAAGAAATAGCTTTAATGTGTGGTTGGGCTGGAAATGATGCCACGATGACAGAAAATTATAACGTAGACGAACATCGTGACGTCATTACACAAGAAATAGCTATAGCGGAAAAATATTTATCTGTATTTATAAGAATGTTGAAGGTAGGAAAAACATTATGCATAACACCTCCCAACTTAAAAAAATGAGGAATATTTTTTATATAATGGTGTATAATGATCTCAATTTGTTTTAAAATTATTTTTGGCTAGGAGCACGCTGCCATCGAAGAATACATTACTGTCTTAGATGCGATCGTCAGCGAACATGGCGGTGCACCAAATATAGACTATAACCGTGAAGATGATACCAGAAAAAGAAGAGCGGCTATTTCACAACAATTTTTGATGAAATGGGCACTTTATACAAGTAAAATGCTCAGCGAAGTGAGTTTATTCTACACATGCAAACGATTTATTCAAATTGCTAATGTATGTAGGTTTTTCCTGTACTACTTCATTGCTATTGTTATAACATTGCCCTCGTTCAGATTACTTTGCGAACGAGCGGATCTGTCGGAACATTTCATCTTGTATCGCTCCTGTTTGGAGACTACGTCAGTCACTCACTCTGCACTCAGAACGAGGAAGTTGTTTTCATGAAAGTATACAAGAGGATTATAAACGAAGCCATGGCTCAAGATTAAGATGACTACTGGAAGAATGTCAGCTTGCCATGGAAGAACATAAGCCAAGCTGTCATCCACGAATCTGTATGTGTTATACTAAAGTATTTTTTTGTTTATTGGACTTCCGTATTATTTCGTTTTAAATTATTGTTAATTTTATACAAAATATATATTGATTTATTTTAATGGTTAACTATCTACTAATTTCCGATTTCTAATGAAATGTTAAAAGTTAATAAATTCGTATCCTTCTCTTGAATTATATGTACCGTCGATAAGTGATATGCTTGCTATATCAAACGTAAGATTTGCAATGACTACGCCGTCTTTCATCTCTTCATATTCCCGGGAAAATTCCTGACAATATTTCCTCATCGGTACAACGATTTGTAGAGAAATAAAGATCGATTCGGAGTGCAATTCTAATATGTGTTAATTAACGACGTTCTTAATGCTAAAAAAACGGCATAAATCACCAGAAGTAAGACAACAAACCCAGTTTGAGAGACGTATGCTAAATAGTAGAAATGAGGAAGTTAACAATATGACTCCATGTCGCGCCATTCAGATCAAATCGACTCGAAACCGGATCTGAAATTTAATACAGAACATAGTGTAATTAAAAGCCTTTGTGAGGTACGGTACTGAGCTGTCAGCCATTTTGAATCTGTATCATGTTTACCATCTTGAAAATTAGGAGGATATTATTCTAGCGCACATGGAGAATAGCATATACCAAAGATTTTGCATTGTCTCTGGTAATACTATGCAATTTCTCACAGATCGGCTTGTGGAATCCGGCAGTCCGTAGTCGGACATGCTGTGCGCTAGAGGTGGAGTGAGCGCTAGTTTCTGAGTTCATGCGAGCGTTTAAACATGGTTCATAACCATGGTTTAAATGTGAATTTACGCCTTATGTTGTAAGTCTGCATGTGGTGCCGCCAGCTGTTATAGGTTTGTATTCAGTTTATTCTTGACTAACTTCGTGATTCTCTCAGTATAGAACAGGTCAATACAATAATATCTAAAGCTGATAGTCTATCTGGTGATACGAGGTCTGACATAACTCAGTAACTGGATTATTCGCAAAGTTAAAAACTTGAAGATGAGCGAACAGGATTTACAAGCTCTCTCTGGATATCTGGAGCAAACTTTGTCTCCAGAGGCAGGAATTCGAAAACAAGGTGGGTATGATTTATATACAGTTACCGGTATATATTTCAGTATTTCAATTGTCAAAGTCATTTAATTAACTTCTATTTCGAGTCGCAGTTCTTACCACTTTATGGTAGCTCCTGCCACGAACGAACCGCCGCGTCTCTTGTCATAGTTTTATGGCGCTATTCAGTAATCAGTATTACCAGTATATTTACAAAGTCATGCAGAATTATATCTATTTAAACCTGTAACCTAACCTCAAATACATCAAAACTGTATCCATAGGAAAAATGTTCCAATTTACAGACTTACCGGTACCAAATATTTATCACCATTACAGGCAGCCCTACAATTACAGCCAACATGCCGTGGTTACAGCAGCAAAATTTTACCCCCCTTTGGTTTTCAATATGCTGCCGCGGTAACGGCAGCTTGCCATTGGTTTGTAGCAGCTAAAAAGTCAGTCGTCATAGGTTTGGTTATATCGGCCATGGTTTGGAAACCCGCCATGGTTTTACGGCAGCTGTAAACGTCACAAAATACTTGAAACTGCACTTGGAGTATTTCATGTTTTAATCTGATTTTTTTTTTCAAGCCGAGAAATTTTTGGAAAGTGTGGAGGGAAATTCTGGTTACGCTTTGATGTTATTGAAGTTGGTTGAAGCAGTAATTGGCCAACAAACAAAAAATGCTGTCATACCACTTGCTTCAGCAGTCACATTCAAAAACTTTGTCAAGAGAAACTGGCGAAAGGTAAAACTAAAACAAGGAATTTATTTATAATTTTCAATATTCAATTACTTACTCTCATGGATTGGCATGGGTTTTTATATGCTGATATAGGCTATAAATTAAACGCAATCTGACAATACACTGACATAAAAATACTTTGACCATATACAAATATAGTAATTATTGTAATGATGAAATATATAAGAACCAAGAATATGATTTTCAGCGCTTAGAATCTTTAGTGTCGATGCCGCCCACTTCTTTTTTTTTATATATAAAATTTGAGAATATATTTTTAGATTCCTGATGAACCATCTAAAATATCTGAGGCAGATCGAAACACAATTAAACAACATGTTGTGGATCTTATGCTCAGAAGTCCAGAACAATATCAGAAACAACTTAGTGAAGCCATCAGCATTATAGGTAATTTCATAACTTTCAGGTCCATGACATATGAAGTAATATTGAGTTGAATGTGGGTATATTGTAATTGTAGCTTTGCCCTCACTTTTTTCCAATGTAGTAGTTGAAGCTACTTTTTAGTAGCTCCCAATCCCTCTTGAAGGGCTCTGTAGCTCCGAATTGACTCGAGGCGCTTCACCATAGCGTATGGCTCTTTACAGATCGGGGCTTTAGATACTCTTGGTGTCAATAATTTTAGTTTCAAAATGCCTAACATATACCCTTACCCTATCTGTCCAACCCTGTCTTCTCCGATTGATAAATTACTCTAGATCTAGCGGTTTTTAGTAATGCAATGGGTTTTTCATATTTTCTACTTCTATTTCTTCTCAGGACGAGAGGACTTTCCTCATGAGTGGCCTACATTGATGCAAGAAATGATAACTAAATTTCAATCTGGTGATTTCCATATTATAAATGGAGTTTTACAAACTGCACATTCATTGTTCAAAAGGTTTGTGCTTTTTACAATCTAAACAAGTGCATTGGAGGTAAATAGAGGTCAAGAACTATGATACTAGTTAATAAGTCGCAGTATTGTGGAGATTGTTTTAGTAGTTATGCTTCACAAAATAGGTACTTGAAAATAAAATGCTTACTAAAAATGGAAAGTTATAACTGGTATTAGAAGATTAAAAAAATCTATTGTACTGGCTTGAACTGCTTCAAGCTTCTCGTCATTCAGCATTTACTGGTGCGTAATGCACCACAGTAATTATATATAGTTTTGGTTAGTTAACACCATCCATTCCATCCATCCATTCCCATCCAACCATCCATCCCCAAATTTTGGTTATAATTCTATTTCAGATATCGGCACGAATTTCGTTCTGATAAGCTATGGACTGAAATTAAAATAGTCTTGGATGCATTCGCTGCTCCATTAACTGAGCTGTTTCTCAACACAGTGAAGCTGTTGGAACAACATGCAGCCAATAAGGATGCTGCTAAGGTAGTTAATGACTTCAAAAAAATAATAAAGAAAGGAAATCAAACAGAAATAAATGGCTCAAATATAATTAGCCAAAGATTTTTATACCGAAGGACGTAACATTATTATTTCAAAGAAAATTCAAAGTCATGCTAGCTGATTGCCGAGTATTGATTTCATCATCTCTCGATTAATTGAGGTACAAAAGTTAAAAACGAGCATGTCAATGACCTGGTGGCCAACATATAGTTTTCCATTCAAGGGTGGATTTCATATTTACAGTGAATGTGCCATAGTTAAGGTAGTATCATTACATTTTCCAATGAAAATGAGTCGGCATGTGACTGCTTGTTTTTTATAATCATTACTTCATAATCATTTTTTGGAATTGTCATTAACAATTTTCATTAATTTTTAGGTTTTATTCAGTTCCCTGGTTCTCATCTCTAAGATCTTCTACAGCTTGAATTACCAGGTATGCTTGACCAAAACTGATCATTGTAATTTTTTTTTTGTACTAATTAAAAGTTTCTTATTCTTCTTGATGTATTGCATCTCTGTCAGTATTTTCTTGTTGATACCACATATATTTACATTGTGAGCCTGTGACATAATTTTGAAAAAAAAATTTACATTTTTTTAACTATACTTCGCTTTCTGCAGGATCTGCCAGAATTTTTTGAAGATAACATGGACAAATGGATGCCGCAGTTTCACATGCTTTTAACAACCGATAACAAATTATTACACACAGGGGTATGAAAGAGATATGTTTAGTGCTTGAATGCAAACCGGCGGTGTCTTTATCCAAATATTTGATATTTTGGAACATTTCTTCGCAATTAATTTTAATTTCAATTAAATCAGTGAAAAATAATGAAATATGTCACTACAAAAATGTAAAATTTTACAGAAAACTGTATTTAATTCATCTAAATTTTAAAAAGATTATATTTTAATGACTGGTTCCGTTCAGCAATATGGGTTCAACTACTTAGTTTCTTATTAATCATGTCCACTGGTCTGGAATGCATCTTATATTCACCATCAAACCTTAACCCTTGTATGTTCTTTATACATTTGGTATAATGGAATGAACCAAAATTTCTTTAACTTACAGGATGATGAAGAAGCAGGTTATGTTGAACTTCTCAAGTCACAAATATGTGACAACGTTGCTCTCTATGCTCAAAAATATGATGAAGAATTTACAAAGTTTCTTCCTCAATTTGTAACAGCCATTTGGGAACTTCTTGTTAACACTGGAATGCAAGTGAAGTATGACTTGGTATGTTTTTTTTTTTATATTTTTCTTGATTCTTCATTATTTTATATATTTCATATACGAATGAAAATAATGTTATTGTTTGTTTACAGTTAACTTCAAATGCCATCGGATTTTTAACGAGTGTCAGTGAGAAACAACAATACAAATCATTATTTGAAGCTGACGGTGTGTTGGCATCAATTTGCGAGAAGGTGGGTAAAACGATAACAAAATAAATTTTTAATATGTTGTAAAAAGCATTTTTAGTACAGTGAGCGTTCATTTGAATCTGTAACATGCAGTTTTCTCAAATTGAAGCCTTTTGTATTTTTTAAAAGCTCAAGAAAGATACAGTTTTGGTAATGTTCAAATTGATAGCTGGCAATCAACTATAATTTCTCTACAATTTTGTTTTAGGTTGTTGTACCTAACATGGAATTCCGAACAGCAGATGAAGAACAATTTGAAGACAATCCAGAGGAATATATCAGGAGAGATTTAGAAGGATCTGGTAAATTTAACTAACTTTTTATAGCGAATCATTTTCCTTTCAAAACTATGTTTAATAAATTATATCCTTTGTTGCCAGATGTTCATACACGACGAAGAGCTTCTTGTGACTTAGTTCGAGGATTAACAAAACATTTTGAAGCTCCAGTGACTCAGATATTCTCACAATATGTGGCAACAATGCTTGAGGTATGTGATATCACAATTATATTTACTTTTCCCCTGAGTTCATAATATTTTATTGAAATTTAATTTATCACAGCTTCATGCAAAAGATCGTGCGAATAATTGGAAAAGTAAGGACGCAGCAATTTATCTTGTTACGTCACTTGCTCAAAAAGGTTCAACATCAAAACATGGAACAACAAAAGCAAGTGAACTGGTCAATTTGCAGGATTTTTTCGATAGTCATATTCTGACAGAACTGGCTTCAGCTAATAGTAAGTATTTGCCTAATTTTTTAATGTGAAACCCATAATTTGGAATATGTGAGATAGCGATTTACAACTTCCACAATATCTTCTTTTAATTGGTATTTGGACTGCTTGTTAGTTCATCCCGAATTAACATTTGGGTTAAACTTTTTCTTTTCTAACAGTTAGTGAGTTTCCAGTACTCAAGTCTGATTCTATCAAATACATTGTGACGTTTCGTCAACAAATGGGAAAGGAGAGACTTATGAAAGCATTGCCGTTACTTGTCCAACATTTGCCATCGACTAGCATTGTTGTACACACATACGCAGCTCATGCTATTGAAAGATTCTTAACTATAAAAGCTCAGGGAAATGTACCTTTGTGAGTAAATATGCTTGTTTGGTATAATTTGAATATGTTGCAACATCTTTCACATTAATGTGGTTTTTCAATTCATATTTTTTTTTGAATCTGAAATTTAACTAGGTCCATAGCTTGAAGATCTTTATTTTTTTCAAATGCTCCTGATACACAATTTAGATCTTCTTAACATCTTAAACATTAAAATGTTTTTTAAAATCATTTTTTTCTAGAATCTCGAAGACCGAGATTCAGCCCTTGCTTGAAAATCTACTCGCAAACTTGTTCCAAGCACTTCGAATCCCTGGATCAACTGAGAATGAGTATGTCATGAAGGCGGCTATGAGGACATTTTCATTGGCAGGGGAGCTTGTCTGTCCTTATATACCGACTATAGTGAATGAATTATGCCAGAAACTCCTACAGTCTAGCAAGGTATGAAAAGAAGCTCGTAAATCGGATTATTTCATATATATGATTGAATATATACAAAGCTGTTCTCTTTGGAGATTTCTGATACATAGTTTTTTGATTTGGCTTTCGCAAGCTAGATGGAATAACATATTTAAGTGATACATTGGAGCTTGCTACAGAGAAAAAAACGATCAATACTACCAATGTGATAAGTATTTTTCCTTTTTCAGAATCCTAGCAAGCCGCATTTCAACCATTATCTGTTCGAAGCACTATCAATCTGTATAAAAGTATCATGTCAACAAGATAAATCTGCTGTTGCAAGTTTTGAACAAGCATTATTCGAAATGTTCACTGACATATTACAACGTGACGTGACTGAGTTTATTCCTTATGTTTTTCAAAGTAAGACATAATTTTCATGAACTAAATACTTTATTTACAATGACGAGTCTTAGCTCTTATATTAAAAAGATAGAAACACGACGAATGGTGTTATTGAGTACTCTTGAAGTAATACACAGAATTATGAGTCGTATATGATAATTTATAATTAATTACAATTAAAATTTTGTTCTAATAAATTACTTGCCCTATCTTCTCAAAATATCACAGTTCAAAAAAAAGATTAATATTTTGCGCATTTTTGTTCCCAGAATCCTTTTTTAAGCACCGAAACCCGAGGAATTCTGTATCATATATATTTCTCTTCTTATATGTGCTCTCAACAAGCTTGGTCTGATCATCTCTAGTTAATGCCCATGTACTATTTTCAATATCAGTATTTATGTCTAATAAAACATATTTCTTATTCACAGTCATGTCGATGCTGCTGGAGATTAGAGAGCCTCCTATCCCAGAAACTTACATGGCTCTCTTCCCTCATTTACTAAATCCTGATCTGTGGGATAGACCAGGGAACATACCACCATTGGTTCGATTGTTGCAAGCTTATATCGAAAAGGTATATACCGGTAGTTGTATTTTGAATAATAATATTCTTAAAGCATATAGTTGTTGCTGTTATGCTGAAAACAGAGGAAATCTATCATACACTAAGGTTTTGGATCCAACTATCATGTTCTTAGTTAGAGTAGGGGTGAAAGCACTGGATCTAAATAGATTTGGGAATAGTCTCATCATAAAATTCCTCATTTCAGGGCCCAGACTCCATTGCTGCCTCCGGAAAGTTATCTCCACTATTAGGAGTCTTTCAAAAAATGATTGCTTCAAAAACCAATGATCATCAAGGATTCTATTTGTTGAACAGCATGTATGAGTACATCAAACCGTAAGTTACTTAAAATACAGTACCTCTGTTTCAATATACAAACTATGATGCTTCCATCAGTGAAGAGATGTTACCTTCCTTCGAAGCATAAATAAAATATAAAAATTTGGAGAGCAATTAATCCTTTGGAAATCATATGTTGGACTGCTTACTCACCTTCAGGTTTGGTTATTCTTATTGGAAAAGCTCACAAGATAAGGACTTGAGTGAATAATGTATATATCAGCATCGATAATGCAGTAAAGATAGACACATATTTGAAGATAAAAATCAAACAACTTTTATACATAACCACCAGTTAATTTTATTCCTATCTAAAACCTAAGCCATGCAATATTTTTTTGTTTTTAGGTGGTTTGCGTATCCTTATAAAATAGGCAGGTAAAATTACTATGTTAACCAAAAAATCTCATTTAAAGTTTTTCATTTTTTTGCAGGGAAGCACTAGAGCAATACACGAAGCAAATTTTTTCTCTCTTGTTTCAACGATTAATGAAATCAAAAACTGTTAAATTCACTCGAGGCTTAATAGTTTATTTTTGTCTGTATATGATCAAGTTGTCTCCAGATGCTTTTCAAAAGGTTATAGACTCGATACAGCCCAAGTAAGTATATAATGTTAGCATCAAAGCTTGGTTAATATGCATACATTGAATGGTGGAGGAACCCACAATAGTAAGAAGTCTAGCTATACTTTCGCACATAATTATTTCATATTGTGTTAGAACCTGCGAACATCAGTAATGCGTGTACCTGACAATAAGCCAATCTTTATTAATTTTCTTCTGTTCAGTATGTTTGCGATGGTTTTGGAGAAGCTACTTATAGCAGATGTACAGAAAGTATCTGGCACCACCGAAAAAAAGATTTGTTCTGTCGGTTTGTCTAAACTACTGACAGAATGCTCAGCATTTCAGGATGAAAATTATGCCAGACTCTGGTAAGAATTTTGTTTAGTTTGAAATCTACAAATTTATCCAATATGTCTTGTTGTTAACTAACTCAAATTCCTACTTAAGGCCTCCTCTGCTTCAAGCTGTTATTGGATTATTTGAACTTCCTGAAGATGACTCAGTACCTGACGATGAACATTTTATTGAAGTTGAAGAAACTCCAGGTCAGTCATAAAGCTCTTTCTTATTGGTCAAAGTCAACACATTAGAAACCTGTTATTTTACAAGAGTAAACAAATGCGATTTTATATTCAATCACTTTTTCATGCCATTCTCCTTAGGTTATCAGACTGCTTACTCTCAACTTGCATTTGCAAGCAAGAAAAGTGAAGATCCGGTGAAAGTGGACAATCCTAAAGTATACCTTGCGCAATGTTTAGCTTCGTTTTCAAAGAATTGCCCTGGCAAGGTAAATCATTCATGCTAGACTAGATGTAGTCGTATTGTGCTATGTAGCAGGTAATGTCCCGACGCAATTTCACCTCTGATTATGTTACATGGGAAGCAAATATAGTGTGGAAATTATTATTACCAAGAGGATTGGCGGACTTTCCTCTTATGTGAGGGTTTATGATACATCTGTCATTGGCTTGAGTTACGATTCTTAAAGATTCAAATTGTAACACAAATTGTCTAGTTAAAATATCCTGGTGTGAACTCAACTACCATAACTCTAGGATAGGTTTATATGTCGAGTTTTCAAAATAGCAAAAAAAAATTCAGTAAAATACAAGTTAGTGCATCCATAAATGGGGTATAGAGTAAATTTACTAGATAATTGCAACTCGAAATAGGCTGTGTTAATGTTGTGGTGAATGTTGTCAATTCATAATTAAATCCTAGTTTGATTTTTGAAGGAGCATTGGTTTAAAATGACTTCACAAAGTTCGCTTCAAAGTTGAAAGCTTTATACTCAATGCTCGCTAATCTCTGTTACCAGTACTGTTAGGGGAAATTACTTTTATTTATTGTTTTCAGAACGAAATGGTGATAAGAGATTTTTTTTTTCAGGTTCCGAACATGGTCAACTACCTGAACCCAGATGCCAAGACCTTTTTACAGCAATACATGGCAGCAGCCAACGTTCAAATTTCTTAATACTGAAACATTTAAATTTGCCTGTTTCTTACTGCCTGTGCCAGTTCAATCTACCCTTCCACCAAGTGTGGGCTAAAGATGATTGCAGATTAATCATACTTGTCATCGAATGCCCATGCTTGGTAGGAGTTCAAGTTTCATTTCATTTGTAAGAATTTCCATATGTGACATATAATCATATTGTGGCACGGAGTTGATACCGTTTGTCGTGGCACTGAAACTGTGCCATTATGTTTAATATTTTCGTACAGCTGTGAATAAACAATTGCATTTATCAAAACCTGGTGTTAACACAAAAAACAAGCGATAGAATGGATATGCGGTCTCAGTGTTAGGACGAAATGTTAGAAAAGTCATTAATTAACTGGTGCAAAATATGAAAAAATGGCGGTTCCATAGTTGCGATAGTTTAGGCTTAAGTTAGGGTATCAGTTGGTGTCTGTTCTGCGCAACTTTTTTCCACCCTTGTTTTTAATTTGCCAAAGGGTGGGCCTCCGCCTTCGTGGCCCACCACGGTACCTCTCATGCTTTCCGGGACATTTCCAATATCTTTCGGTTGACCGTAATTGAGTACACATACAAAATAAACACAACATGCTCTTTACGTTTTAAAAATATTTATCTTCTCTGTTTTGTGAGAGCTTTACATAACGGTTTGACATCCCAAATCAAAACCGTTTTTGCTCTTGTGTTTCTCCGAAAATAAGACCTAGCCTGAATTTTAAAAATGGTCGATAGCAAGAATTATTTTGACCCAGTCGATAGCAAGAAATCTCTTCTACACGTTTCAAATGATTGTTAATCTATGTTTAGCAGTTATTTTAAATATAAACGTATTATTCATAAGTAAATAGATATCGGTTTCCATATTTTGTATACCAACTTGAAAATCTCGTGATTTCCTATTTCGTTATTTGGTTTTTAATAAATGAAAATAAAAGCCACCCCCTAAAAAAGACCTAGTGTTATTTTTCAAAATAAATTTTAAATCAATGTCAACAACGTGCTGCGGTTGTCCGGATATTGTATAGGTGTGGAGCATCGTCATATCTGAAAAAGATTAATTGAGGACCACCATGAGCATAACCGTTACCACATTCGTTGACGACCAGATAACGCAGCACTTATACCCATATTACAACAAACGGTGTTTGCAATCGACATACGAAATTGTCTCGCGACGTATGCTTCATACATGAAAACCAGCTTCAACGAGCCTTATATTTATATCACATGCTTGGCTGTAAAATAAATCTAATCAGTTTTGACGGGTAAATGATTTACTCTTGTTTCCCTGGCAACGGTGTCTATTTTTTACGATGCAGTCTACCGATAGTTGACGTTTATATATATGCAGGCAAGAAGAAAAAATTGGCCGTAATTTGTGGTAATGAAGATTAAACTTGATCGCTTAGCAGTGATATTGTCGTAGTTCTATGGTAGTAGATATATGTTTATCGAAAGCAAGCCCAGGCACTTTTGATAGTAAAAGTTAACAGCAAGCCGAATTTGAATATTTTATGGCTATAATATTGCCATATTCAGACCGTGGCCCGCAGAGAAATTTTAGCGTGCACTAAACCATTGGCAGATATTTGTATTTATTGGCAGAACATTGAGTTATTTTTAAACTATTCCAACGATGAATAACCCTTTTCCTAATCCCGATGTCGAGATTGATGTTTGTTAAAATCACGGAATCCCAATGTTGTATCTAGAAACGTCAAGACGGTGCAAATATGGGAATGACGTTCTGTGATCGGTACAAGGACAGGACCAAGCCGAAGAAATGAGTCGCGCTTTTTATCCAAACTTCGTGCCTTATGCTCGCGGCAAGTAACTCCTTATTTGGAGAGGTTGTTTTTTTGACGATAGCACCAGGCCGCTCACGCAACAAGTAACAAATTAGTCAAATATACCATATCATCATACAATGAGTGTAACAAAAAAGGTGATCGAGGTAAACTGGGAGTAGGGCTGGGAATGGTTAATCGGTTAACCAATTTTAGATGGCTAACGGTTACGATTTATTTTAACCGTTAACTGACTTGATCTCAGGTACAAACCATTTATATAATGTACGATTTCTTCAAAAATGATTACGTCATCGCAAGTTATCTCCTGTGACGTTCAATTCAGAAGAATATCACTAACTGTATTGGTAAGGACCCAATACATGTGAAAAATGTTTAAGTAACAATATTGCTGAATATGAAAATTAGACAATGGTAAATTCAGAATCAATTTTTGGTCAAACTATATTCTTCATGATTTTATTGCAAAATCGCAGTGGCGGCGCGTGGTCATTTTGACAACCGGGGCAAGCTACTGCGGGACCAAGTCACCCCCATCTACGGGGACAGGATGAGCGCTGTAAGTTCTCCCATCATTTTATGAGTATAAAAACCATTCCATCGGTAACAACCAATCGGCAAAAGCGACAATTTTTAACGATAAGAAAGTGTCTTTAAAACCGGTCCAAGTCAAGGGATTAATAAATATAGACATAGTTTATTTTGAAACCTCTTCCAAAAGGAAAGGCAATATTTACCCAGATAAATACAATGACATATTAACAGAAACTTCGGGAAAGCAGACAAAACCTAAAATAAGGTTTAAAACGTTACTATGAAGAAAGGAAAGTTAATGCAAAGATAAGGACATGCGTCGCTCACTCATAGATATATATGCTGCTAGACTTCTACTGCTTGAACATATATGCAACACGCCGCGGTTTCTTGGAAGCAAAATGCTCAATAACGCGCTGATTAAAGTCATGCATCCCAGAAATAACGTCTCTGTGAATGGGTAAAACAGCCAAGGAATTCAATCCATCTTGCTTCATTGTGTTTCTGAGATACGTTTTAATACGCTTCAGCGTGCTGAATGTTCGCTCTGCGTCGGCGGAAGAAATAGGCGTCGTCAAAATGATGTCCAGAAATTTTGCAGACTCCGCAAAGGTAGTTACTAGAGTGTTATCTATGAGGAACCCATAGAGCGCGCAAGTTGATGTGATGTTCAAAAAAGTTTGATTGGTGTATATACATCGCAATTCATTTTCCAATTTACCCACGTTTATCATGGGGTAAAATTTGGAGACAGTAGCCAACAAATGGATGGGAAATAGACGTGCAAATTTGGAAAAATTTTTGGGGTTCATCAAAGAGAACGCGGCTAGGTGTTCAGTGCGCAGACGATCGCCTATTTGATTCACCAGAATGTCACAGCATTCCTTTGCAGACAAAATCAAACGCTGCGTTGTTTGCCCGCGGCGTAAAGAAGCACTCCATGTGTCGTCGTATTTTATTGTTTCCCGGATACGAGATACAGCATCGCAGAAGTCTGAAATACACGACTGCACAGACGCTCCATCCATTAGCCTTGACTGCAATGCGCCGTATAATACATCCACGTGATAGAATATTGTGGAGAAAAAAGCGAGAAAAAATGAAAATTCACCATCTTCTAGCAGACGCTTTAGACCTGCCGCCTCCCTCACAGAGCGTTCGTCCCAAACCGGAGAGCTCTGAATGCCATTGAAACACTCAATGAGCTCAGACCTAATTTCGGACACGCCCTGCACCACGCGTGATTGGAAGTTCCAACGTGTTGGTGCACAAGCTGGGAGACGGCGGCTACATATCTGGCGAAGGAGGTCAGAGCGCTTCGGCGAAACGGAAAAAAATGAAGAAAACCCCGAAACATTTGCAAAAAATATACGGACGAGAGGGGTATCAAGACACATATTTTTAATAACGAGGTTACCTTGGTGTGCATAACAATGTAAAAAATGCGCATGAGGAAAATCTTCTTTTCTATAAACTGGAACACCATGTTTCGACCCACTCATGACTGCCGCGCCGTCATAAGTTTGAGCTATCAATTTTGACTTCGCGTTGTAAGGCTGTAACACTTCTTTCAGTTCAGCCGATATCCCGCAAGCCGTGCGATCAACGATTGGTACAAAGCTATGAAATCTCTCGGTAGGTTTACCATCTTTCACAAACCGAAAAATCACAGCCAGTTGGGAAACGCACGTGATGTCAGTTGTCTCGTCAGACTGAATCGAAAGGAACTGGCAATTCTCAATTTTCAGAGCCAAATGTTGTAAATAAATTTTATACATTGAGTCGAGCAAATCATTTTGGATATCCTTATATGTCCCTTTCGAAACAGTTGCGGCATCAAGATGATCTCTCAATACTGTATCTAGGGATGCGGTGTATACCACCATATCCAAAAATACCCCTCTATTAGAAGAGCCAGCCCGTTCATCGTGCCCACGGAGGGACAGCTCGTGACAACCAATGAACTTCAAAACATCTATCAATCGACCGAGAACATGGCGGTTTTTCTCGACGTTTTGGTTGTGCCGACGAATAGAAACCGCGCGTCCTTCATCCAACTGTGCTGCAGTATTAACATTTCCGAATGTTCGGTATTTTACTGCATTGTCCAGATGCTCCATAGAAGATTGATGATCCCTGGCACGCTCGGAAAGATTTTAATATCTCTAAAACCAAATTTACACCAACGTGAGTCACGGGCGGTAGCAAAAAGTAGGCAATAAAAACAAAAAAGTGCATTTTTGTCCTCGCTGTAACACAACCATTCGTGTTTTCTATACCAAGTTTCTGCGCAGAATGTACGCCGACGCTTTCCTCCGTCATGGGATTGTTCCAGTGAACAATTTTTTGGTTGATAAGGCCCAAGACGTTGTACCTCTAATTTTTGTTCCAGCGGCAGCTGCGAAAACGGAGTGCGAAGTAGTGCATCGACCTTATTCATTATGAGGTCTAAGGCTAAGAAATGCGAAGCCGGAAAGAAGTGAGGAGCTCAAAAGGAATGTGGAAAATCGAAAGCAAATGGACTAAAGGTCTCTAACTGATTCAAATAGCGAAACAAGCGACAAAAACGAAGGCGAGGAAACTATCAACTCTTCAAGCAACCAACGAACGAGAAGGAATGCGTGAATATGTCAACACGTTGTTGTAAGAAACGTTGGCATTGTGTCGTCATAATTTCGGGGCTAGCCCCGATAATTTAGTAAAAGAAACAGAAAACAAACGAGACACACGCGGCGAGTGGAAGATAAAAGAGAGAATACGATATACAATGAGCAACCGGGGCAAAATCGGCGTCGCCCCGTCGACGTTCGGCGAAGGCTTTGCGAGCGAAAAATGAACCATGTCGGGAGAATATGGCTAGTGTAGACAGTCTGTGCAACCGATATTGAGGTATTTTTCGAATATTTTTTATTATACCTTGTTATGCCCTATTGACGCGCCGCCACTGCAAAATCGCATATTCAATGCCATCCAACAAGTGCGTTGTTGATGCTGTTTTTCTCTATGAGATCTCGAAGTAGAATTTGCACATCAAACACTGAAAATTTGTCACATAAATGACATTTCATAACTGAATCGGGTTGTACTGGAGTACTTCCACATGTCCGAAACACGTTGCATATCTTTTGCAGCAGAGCGATGACGAATCTATCTCGATTCGTGAATAATTTCGAGCGGTACAGGAATAAGATCTAGCGAAATTGCTTTGCAGCCATTGTGACGTAACAAGCTAAATTATAAATTATAACGTTAAACCGCAGTGTCTGGTGTGTGAGTAATATCTGTCACGAAATAATGTAATTTTAAGCGGCATTACAAAACCAAACACGAGGAAAGATACCAAAAATATCACGGTATTTCTCGGGAAGCAACTTTAAAATAACTACCTTAAAAACTAATAAGAACGGTAAACTCTGATTCTTAAATATATATATTTGAAGTGAGTAAACTCGCGATGTTTTGATCACTTTTGGGTTTTCTCCGACTGCGGCCCGCGATACATCGTTACAAGTTTTTGCGGCCCGTCAACCTCGCAACCTTGGACCAACCTGTTATAGAACAATATTTTGAACTTATCGGACGGCGATTGGAGCCAAACTGACGCGAGCATCGTCACCTATGAGGAAGTCTAACATTAAATTAACCGAGGAAAAAAGTCGAACATAGACTACTAACAAAAGCCGGACTTTTTAAGATACGTTTTAGCGACCCAAATAGTCAAATACTACCTTGGAATACCTAACTTTGCTTGTATTCGATTATCAACAAGACTTACATAAAAGTAATACTTCATCGGCATTAGTTGAATAATGCGAAAGGTACAGGGTGTTCATTTATTCAAATTGCAAAGGGAATTTATCAATGCCATAAATGGACCCGACAGACATATTTAATGATGTAAACACTCAAATAAACACTGATTAAAATAAAACAAATCTGGTTGAGATCTTACTTCCTTATGAAATTGCACCGGGACTTTACGAACACCTTGTATTGTATATCATGTCATTTGTGTCAACACAGCAAAGGCTATAACTACTGTCTCGTTAAAATCCTGATTTATGGTTTTTTGTTGTTAGGGGTATTATTGTTGTTATTTATGGTTTCTAAGTTGTTGGCAACGGAAGAAACACACCTGGGCATTATCAACGTCAACTATTTATCACAAAGTATACAGAACGACGGGTCGTTGAAGATATTGCAAATTGACGTTCCGATGCACGCAGGAAAAGTTTAGTTTGCCAAATGTGAAGTACCAGTATTAGAGATTGTTTAGAATAGTATTTAGCGAGTCTCAACGTTTCAAAAAAATTTCAGTCTTTAGTTTTGTCTTTTTAAAATCTAACTATCAGAATCGAAATTAGTAATGCCAAAAAGTGCAAAAAATCATAAAAAAACTGTAACTGATTTGAAGGAAGAAATATGAATCTTATGATTATAAAGACTTCATTAATAAAAATTCTATTTGTTAAACTCAACGAAACATAGTCCAAGAAATATTTTAACTGTGAATGTACCTTACTTTTCTCTGATTGTATTACGTCAATTCTTGCGCATTGTTACGTAGTAATGATAAAGTTGTTTTGAATTGAACTCATAGTCTGATCACTGACCATACTTGAACCGGTTTTAACGTTTCAATTTCTATGTCAACCGCGTAACATACTACGTCCGAATTTATTGTCGTGACATAGTCAAACAGAAATCTATTATTCCATGTCCATTTACAACCTTGTTTTTCGTCTTTATGAGCGATTTTGGTCATTAATATTGTCGTCATGTTTAAGTATTCTACCAATATTTACACAAGTCTAGCATTTATAACACGATAGAATTTGGAAGTCCGATTTCTTCTACCAACCGCTTCCGTAAACTGTCATAGAGAGAATGGCTATTAGTTGTGATAGACCGGGAATCAGATGCGCTTGAATAATATCTGAATAATACTAATTGATGGCAAACAATATCTTAAAAGTGTCTTTCTTCAGGTTTCTTTCAGCCAAGGTATACGAGCGCGCAGTTTCGGTTGCTTGTCTCGGTTGGTTCAATCGGTGAAAGGATTATTGTTAACAAGCCAGGAAAAGCCTGTTTTCAGTAAATCGTTCAAGAATAGAGTAAAAATGGTATTACAAAGGACGTAAGAACTGTTGTCTCTTTGCAAATGCCGCAAAATTGCATAATGTTAGATTAGGTTTCGGGCACAAACTACTTGACTTCACAAAAATGTAATTTGACTCGACAGGCTTGGGTGTTGGTGGCTACAGAGAACTCTGAATGTGCACAGGCTAAGATAAAAATATTAGTTATGGTTACGTATGGTGAGTGTTGTACATAATCCATTTCAATAATTATGTCTCATTTAAAAGTGAAGGAAACTTACAAACTTACTCATGAAAAAAGTTTCATCAGTATTTGAATAAAAAAGAAATGGCGAAATGAACGTAAGTATTGGTTTAGGGGGAGCATTTATCATTGTGACCAAACAAAAAGTATCATTATTTAGTGTCCACACCTTCTGGGCGGACAAGAGTTATGGTTTACACATACATGAATACGTGTTTTTTGTACCTTTTAGTTCAAAACTCACGAAGTCAGTTTCAAGAGCAACAGAGGAGAAAATCGCTAGAAAATGGATGTTTGTTTATACTTTATAAGAATAATATCACGCTGAACTCACAGTCTAATCATACATGTTCAAAAGTTTAAAACTGGTTACTTTTTATTAAGAACATGAACGAAAACTTTTCAGAGGAATTGAGAAAAGCACTAGGATACGTCATTGACAATCGATTTACAATTTGTAATAAGTTAAACAAATCAGTCCCGAAGTACAAACAATGACTCTTCCTATTATCACAAAATGATACTTTCACCAGGTACGTTAACCAAACTAGTTAAATAATGCGGTTTTTCCTCAAGATTTGGACACTTAATAACGGATGTCACGTGTCAAAATGTGAGCCCTATACACACAATTCGTAAAATGTACAACAGTCACGTTAACGTTGTTTATTACTCACAAATCTGCAATCCATTTTGGTGGCAGGCTATTAGTGTTGCTAAACTTGACTATACTAAAAAATAAAAGCAGAGTATTTACATCACAAAAAGTCATAATTAAACTATAGTTAATAATTTTTTTTACATCAAACGATGTTATGGCGTCACTTTTGGGATGTTGATGCCATAATCACACATTATAACGTATACTTTTTGTATATCTCCATTTCAGCTCCATCATCTCGAAATAATACTTGAAACCGATTCATTCATCCATCTTTATTATGACGCGTGATGCCGAACCCCCACGTTCAGAATACAAAACCTGACATTGTTACATAATACCATTGTTAAGGTTATTACACAATTTCATCGTCATTCGTCCGTAACCCATAATTTGTGAGCGTTCAATATCAAGTTTATAAGTTTACTCTCTACCATTCATAAATTATTCTTTTCATAGCGCAAATTTCTCGTTGAATATTCATCATAGACTGTCAAAATTTCATATTCATTGTGCACGAAAGTCAACAGCTCACTGGCCTCCAGGTGGCTAAATTACTTTCTAAAAGTATGAGAACAGTGAACACAAAGAGCATAATTTTGTGTACCTGCTAAAGGTTCGCATATCATTTGTTATTGAGGTTTGAACGACTTGGATTAAACTTACTCCCTCTACTTTTTACAGTTATTTGTTTATATATATATATATACATATAGTTAGTTTACAATGGCGGACGTTATGCAACATCCCACCAACGTCGAGTGGAAAGATGGAAAATCACCACTGAGTTACTGGAATGTTCCTCAAGCTGTGAAGACAACGCAAACTTTGAGTAAGTTAATAAAATACCATCATAAAAAGTTATCATTTCTATTCCGTTTAAGGGATAATATGAAGCCATTGAAATACTAAATGAAATTTGATAAATTCCATTTTGTTTTCCATAATCACGATCGTTATAGTAAGACGAAAGTTTACAGTCGTAGTGTAAATATGACTCATATTCATCCATTCCGCTGTTGTTTATGGAATTTATTATGACTCACGCCCGACTTCCATCAAGTACAGCGTCTATGTATCGGTCTACCTAATGCGAAAATACAGCTTTGCATAAATAATTTAACTTGGAACGAAAATTAGTCTAACAGGAAATTACTTCAACATATATATTTCCTATCAAGTAATATCGATGTTTTAAAACATTTAAGTTATTTACTTCTGAATGCAGTCAACAACATTTAATTTTGTTGATGTCATCAAGAATTCATCAACTATCCATATGGATAAGTAAATAAACTTGACTTTGTAAACATGTTGGCCTAAGGAATAAAGGCAAAACCGTTTGGGAACCGCTGACAAAACATCACTTGTACTGAAAGCATCAAATAAGCAAGTGAAACTGATCTTATACAAATACAATTTATTTCTAAACTGCAGAAAATAACATTTTTACAAATTTACAAATATTTATCACTGTGATTTTTGCGCCAAGTACGAGCCTTGGAATATGAGAGAGCCGTTCCGACCTTTTATTTTATCTTCAAATTTTCCTCAATTTTGAGGTTGTTTACTGAGTTGTTAAATTCGTCTATTATAATTAATCTGGCAACGGGGTAAATAAAGTTGAAGGCGTGCGTAATTGAAGCTGTCAAATTTCGATTGGGTATCTGCTCATTAGCAGTTATTATGAAAAAGCAATAAATGGTCGACAAGAGCATTTTTTTTTGATACAACATGGAAATTGTAATGTGGGTATTAAAGTTTTTGCAGTTGGGTTCAAAGTGTAGAAAATAGTGCTGTTAAATTTGTTCCCGAGAGAGCGTACAGGTGATTCATTGTTTCCATTTTAATAGACAAATTGTTGGAATTCGTTTTTCTTTGGATTCGATCGATACTCTGAAAGCGCCATATTTTATGTTTTTCTCTCAATCATGGTTCTGGACAAGGTTTTACCCAAGCACTTGCTTACGTGCGAGGAGCTACGACACGGTACATTAAAAGCAATAACTATCAGATACACCACTTTCAAGTTTTTTTCAAGGAATTTTTTTTTTTGAAATTTCAAAAACTAAAAAACAAATTAAAATTTTGAAACACTTAAAATTCTATACTATGGTATCATAAAATCCCCATTAAATCCCACAGCATTGAAACCACAAGTGGTAGATTAGTCATGAAAACTGTACAAAGCAATCCCTAAGCCCTAATAATTTTTATTGGTTGTTGCGGACCTTTATGTTACTGACCCGACCGTATTGGGCATTATTGGACAAAAGAATATCGACTCTTGACGATTGGTTTAGGAATTCGTTGATGACGCCAGTAGGTGGAGTATATAAACTCCGCTCCTATAGTCAATCAGCTCGCCGTAAGCAATTTCTCTCAAAGAAACGGTCATAGGGTGGGTCATTTTTGACCGGTCAAGCCAGCTATTTGAATCATTTTTGCCAAATAATACTTTATGTACAGTAAGCAATTAATGAACGTAATCGGTTGCGAAACCAACTTGTTATGTTGAAAACTCTGTGATGTAAAATCAACCTTGTTTGTCCAAGCATATCTCAAGTAGGCGTGGAGAAATTAATACTACTAATAAAGAAGATCTATGGAGAAATTTTACGATTTTGAAAAGAAGGGTTTCTGAATATAAAAGTATTATTATTTTAACATTCTATCTTGGTCAGTTTGTGGTTGCGTTAGTCAGGAGAGACAGTCTCGAATTATAATTAGAATATTCGTCGATATTTTTCATACAGCGGGCGATTCTGAAATAAATATCGTATTTCCAAAACAGGACTAATATAAACTATTGTCATTATAAACTATTCTGACGCAAAAAGATTCGACATGTTTAATAATCTTTTTGAGCATTTTGGTCCTGTTTCATATATGTGTAGAGATTGGAAGAGAGTGAGAAAGAGGGGGTCGTTTCTGACGGACTCTCTTTTACCGTTTAAACATTTGAGGCAATCCAAATTTCTGTATTGCAAACTTCGAATTTAAAATTTTTTGTAAACCTTGATTATCTTACCAAAATGTGATATTTACTTTACAAAATTAATTTGTTTATCTCGTTATGTTCATTTATTTACTTATCTCCTGAAATACACGTGCCTTTAACATGAGTACCTTCTTCAACTTATGTGAAATCGACTCGATGTCATATATAAATATTAATTTCGTACTCTCGTAGATGTATATGAGTAGGGTGTAGGAAAGCTGTAGTGTGATAGAGATATTAAAGAATATTAGTTTGGTTTATAAAAGTGAAAGATTTACTTTTTTGCGTCAAGTACATGATAAATTTTATTTGCTCGATTCAGATTATGATAATATAACATAATTTAATATTTTAAAGTAAAACGCTGCAAAAATGAAGTTTCCGAAAATATCGGGTAAGTCTTTAAAATGATCAGCATTATTATTATCAACTTGACATATTAGGGTTAGATGACGGAAATCTTGAATTATATTTTATTTTCATTAGACAGCAACGAATCTCGGATCGGTGCTAATTAGTTTTGAATATTCTAAAGAAATCTCCATAACTCTAAGCCTTTACCTAACTCTAAAAAATAATGCGAGATGTCAATTGTTCCCTTTTTTCCAATCGACGAGGGGCCATCGTAGTCGATTAGCGATATAGAGAATAAATTGGAAAAAAATACAGATAATAATTTAATAAATTGAATATGAAATCGGTGAACAATATGATGCTAGAATACAGGTTTGTAGTGCGCTGGTCTACTTCCTGTTTCAGTCTAATACACTTGTTCTCAACCAGCAGGCCATGGCCCACTTCTGGGCCTCAGAGACATTTTAATGTGGGCCACAAACATATTAAAAATTGCTAAAGTTATTGATAAATTTGTTACACTTTGATTGTACAAGCAATGAATGATGATGCTGTTTTTGCTACTGAGTAGCAATTCCCATTTCAATTATAGAAGTGGAAAATGTCTACTTTTTCAAAAGGAATTTTTTGTTTTTTTCGTTATTTATTTTTTTGCATGAGAAGTTGATGGGCCACAGAATTTTATGGGCAACAAAAGTGGGCCACGAAAAAATATCGAAAACCACTGGTCTAATACATGTGTGTATATTATTATTAAAAAAACTTAAATTGTGAGATAATGTAAGTGCGACTTAAAATCATTTTAAGACACAAAGTTGAACGACTAAAATATTAACATACGACTTTCATTTTTTAAAAAACAAAAAAGGGAGGTTTAGAAAATCTGTTAAAGCGAAAAAATAAACAGAACGGAAGTTCGTTAAGTACTTCAATATTTCTCTAATGAATCCGATCATTAGCTCAGTCAATATTTAATAACAATAAGACATTATTATGTGGTTTAACAGTTCGTTTTAACAACCGTGCAGATGTTTTCTATTGAAATTTAATAAGAGAAGTTTCACACGAAACTTGTCTTCACAAATAGTGATATTACACTCTGAAAAATGTTCAGTAATTTTACTCCCATACACTTGTTATTACAAAACTTCGATTTGAAAAGTTTCATAAAATATAGTCTGATTAAGATACCTGATATATAAATTGAAAAATGGTAATAATATACCATGAAATGCGAACAATTGTGGCGTAAACTTTTTCATAGTGTACCACTCGTGTGGCAAATAACAAAAGCTGATATATTTCGTGTTAATGAAATGTTTTCTATTATAACGGGTAATAAACTGATGTTCATGAATTTGTGGTGAATGGGTCAAATATTTGTTGCCATGGTAGCTCGATTAAAAGAGATATCCTATTCAATTTTGAAAGAAAGGAACTTTCAACTTTAGTAGATGGTTTAATAAAATTCTTATTCGTAATTGATCAGTCTCTCAATTATAGTTTGGTTGCTAAGTGATATAGATATATCGGTACCGTTTATCCGCACTGCGGCATAATATCGCTTATCGACTATTTCGACCTTTAAGTAAAAAGTAGAAAATGTATTAAAATTGAAATAGATGTCATTTGGGAAAGGTCCAAGAAACCGGATTGAAGTCTTTGATTTAGCACCTTGCGAAATGAATATGAGTCAGTATACAAAGAAATAACCTCCGAAGTTACTGAATTGCATCACAAATGTGTTTTTACCTCAAAAATTGTATCATATTCGGTACGTATTTGAACTCGACGACGTGAATTACTGATGCATCTATCTGGCGTATAGGGCGCAGTGAACTTTTGTAAATGAATAGATTCGAAATGAAAATTTGTTGTGAAAAATTGATTGTGTAATCCCAATATTGTACTTAGCTTCTTCGAAGATTTGAATAAATGTTTTTCGTTGACTGGCCAATAGTCATGCCTATTTCGCAATGTTTCAATTGTATAGTCAGTTATGTGGTGAGAATGGACACTGTATATTCTCCTACTATCCATTATCGCGGGCAAGTCGTTTTCCCCTTCTTGAACATAATGCTAATGTTTTCAGCATTATTCTATAATTTCACAATTTATACCTTTTCTTTCCCATTTTAATTGTCCTATTATTAACCGCTTTATTGGTCTAAATCGTACACGCCCGCTGTTCAAATTTACCCTTTTTCAAAAAACCGTTGTTCCCATTCTTTGCCGGGTTGTAAACATATGTTAAACGTGTTTCCGCTATTCAATTCTTTGTTGAATTGTTTAACTTAAAGTCTCAAAAACATTCATAAGTTGACTTTTGATTTTGTTCTTGGTACATATTTAAACATTTTGTGATGTCGATTGTCTTCGAAATTAAACTGTCGCAGATTCTCATATTCAATAGTTTGCGATAAGGCGTCGGTTGTCAATGGTTTTCGCAGATTTTGGATCGATTCGATCTAGTTAGTCTACGCTGTCCACTGGCAAATTTTGACCAAAAGAATGGACGCAAAAATGACCGTTTCATATTGATTGGTATGTAAATATCAAACGAATTTTGCATTCATTCTATCAAAAATATTTTGCTTTCGTACTTCAGTTAGTAACGTGAATAATCGCAGTCTATGAAAGCAGATGCGGTCAGTAGAAAGGAAGAGAATATTAAATTCGGCGTTTCAGGGCATGCGTGCTGGAATGTTATATTTTGCGTCCTAAATTTGATGACCAAAAAATGAATTACCATGTAAGTAGCCTAGCTGCCCAACGGAAGCAAGCTATAAAACGCAATGTTATGTTGTTGGCATAGCATTGCGCAAGATATATGTTACTGACCCTGACAAGGGACGTTGCTCTTCGGAATGACGTCAATGCCGGGAAGAAAACTTGTTGACGCTCATAAATGCGAGCAGTTGACATAAAATTACCTTGTTAATGGGTGTGTGGCGCAAATCCCATAAAATGTTAAGTATGTGTAACCTAAGAAACTATGACGTTTGAACCAAGCAAAAACTTTATTAAGTTCATTTTATTCTAATGCTTTATTCTGATAAGAACAAAGCTAAGTCGGTGCTCCTGAAGTATGCGCACCAAGATGTCGCACAACCTGAACCCTAACCTGGTACACAACCTGAGTTCAGGTTGTGCGCCATCTTGGTGCGCATAATTCAGGAGGTCCGCTAAGCAATTCCTACATGCAAAGTAGAAAAACTTGCTGGAAAATAGCGTTTTTGTCATTTCGTTTTTGTTTACTTGCTTCTGGGTCTTAATAGACTTTACCATTTAAACTTGAGTCATATTTTCATTATTCTAATATTCAAAATTGCTTGCTGATTTATTTTGTTTGCACAGTATAGTTTGAAGGCTCTCACATTATGCCCTTTCACTCATTACTGATAAGCTATATTTCTAAAGATGAGCGTAGAGAAGACTATCTCGTCCTAGAAAATTAGGCCTATATGATTTAAGTGTTAATAGGGCGCCGGCCAGCGCCTTTTTACTAATAAGCAATAAATTTTCAGGTGACTCAATGACTTCTGGCTATGGGATGCCGTCACCGCCACCGACGCCCTCAATACAGCAAATGTATGATCCAGCGGAAGTGAAGCAACTTCCGGGGAAAGGCGCAAAGGGTAAAGGTCAATTTGTCGATTGGGGAACAAAATTGTATCAATTGGAGTTAGAGTTATCATACAAAAACAACGAAATTGTTCTTTTGAATAAGAAATTGAAAAAGTACACGGACGAATTGTATCCAGGAGGCAATACTTCAAAGGTATGGCCTTTTTTGTCTCATGTGTTCGTTCGCTGAGATTCTGATTGTCATGATCATGATCAAAATGCTTGAGCTCCTAGACAGATTAGTTCATAAAATTACTAAAGTTGCAGGATTTGAACCAAACATGCGATTTTGCTAGAGTTGTCATTTTGACTCTAAGTGTATGCCTAGTGTGTATGAACCATAATTATTGTAAATACCTAGATTATTTTTAAATGTTTTTATTTTTTTAGAAATCTGTTATAACCAGTCTTCAAAATCAAAATGATGTGATGAAGAAAAAACTCGAAGTGAAAGAGGGACAGTTGAGAAGAGAACAAACTCGGTGAGTTTTTGCTTGCTCTAACTTAAGGATGGGTGAGTCTCTAATAGTATACAGAAAAGGTAGAAATGTTGACAAACACTAGCAATAAAATAACGTTTAATTTGTTTGTCAAAGAACTTTGTCTTGTACTATTACAGCAAAATGTATACTAACATACTACAACAAAATTAAACCCTTTTTTCAATAAAAAATATCGGTTCTTTCCAAGAATTAAATTCTCCTACATAAAACGGAAACAAATTTTTTCAACCTATTGATTTATAGCTTCCGTGCGAGCATTTTAAAATGATTTCCACAAATATTTACCCTTATATCAAAATTATCTACTGTGGTCGGTATTTTAACAAATGAATTGCTACTTAGACAGATTTATGGCCAGATTAAAGAGGCAACTATTCTTAGCTATGCCATAATCGTATAATATATTTTGTACAGCAATAGTCATAATTTTTATGATGAGTGGGCGTAATTATAAGTTGGACTGGACCTTGTTAAAATTTTTGTAAAATAAATGAAATTATTATGTAAATCTCTATCCTGTTGATGGTACCTCATACTGGATCATTCACTCGCGACAGGAGTACCGCGGTTTTACAGAACGAACCAATTTTAATTGCGATTACTTAACTTTGTTTACCAGTAATAGAATCATTCAATTTCGCTCTAAGCATGTCAATTTTTGCTTAGCCTCTAGTCGAGCCGCTCTTGGACTAAACATGACAGTACTTGGTTGGACTCCACTCAAATCACAAAAGATGACCGCGCTTATAAAATAGACTTGATACCTAAACCTTGCGAACCAAGTGTCAAAAATGCAAAACTGTTTTAAATATAATACAGAGATTTTGGCGATATTGATCAGGGAGTTGATGAACTTCTCCGAATTTTATCTCATGTTCCTATTATTAGCTAAGCATTCTCCAACATTATACTCAGTTACCCCTATAACTTACTTTGTCTATAATCGTTGATTTAACACCATAAACGTACATTTCCCCATAAATAACTAGTCGGTCATTTGAGTCCTTATGACATACTTGGTTCAACGACTTCGATCGGGCTAATGCTTCATGTTTATGACTATAGGAATACGCAATATTATTCGTCCGTTGCTTCATGTCTTAAACTTCCTGTGTCAATATTTACAAACAAGGCCTCATCCGATTAAGTACACTTTTTCAAACATAATTCACGTACCCAATAAAGTCGGTTCATAATAGCTTGGTTCTGAGATGAACCTGTCAAGTAAATTTATTATACGACAACCCCAACCTGATGGTGAGAAGATCTGTTTTAAATTCAATATATACATTTATTTATTTGCGTGAATTTTCATTTCAGGTGCAAAGGCTTGCAACACGAATTAGCAGAAGTAAAAAAGCATAATTTGGTAAGCTATTATTACTCTCAGCATGAATGAATTATTTGAAAATTCATATGGAAAAACGATTTTAAACTACACAACAGTCATCCGACACCAAGTATATTAGCTTTGATAACAATAACAAATTTTGACAGGAATTGAGAAGACGACATCTAGTGAATGAAAAAGGAGTTCAAACTTTACCAATTAACAACAAAGACACCCAGGCCAGGTAAGAAACATTGCTACACTTGCATAGTTTGTCAAAACTCCCAAGTCTATAGTAAGTAAAACTAATTGGATCGCATTGTCATTCTCAATTTTAACAGCTCGCCACCGAAGAAGCCTAGAACACGTACTGTGATGACACAATGCTCGCCAACAGTTTTGAAAGTCACAAATTCTACAAAAGTGACGTCACTTCCACAACCAAGTGATAGCAAAGTTTCAGGAACAGTAAGCTCTTATTATCTTTACTCAGATACCTCCCCGCCCCACTTTTCATAATATATACCCATTTCCATCGTTATAACCCAAATCAATATTATTCATCTTCAATTCCAGCAAAGAAAACTTTATCGCAAAGCGAGAGATCACTACACCAATTCGTATTCTACCAGTACATTCAGTCCAGGATCTTCAGCAAGTTCGATAACAAACAACTTTAAAACTAAAGTATCCCCTCGGTCACCAGCACAAAATGTTACTGTGGAAAATAAGGTAACTTTGAAGTAAACTATACCAATGTAAGCGCAATGGCCGACTGATTAGCTGACTGTATTCACACCATAGTTCAGTTAGCGTTTGAGCCCTTTATTCTCCATACATCAATTGAACTGTACATTCCTACCCATCGTGTTAAGTACAGAGGACAAACTCGAAACAAACGTAAAATTTTGTTTTCTACAATCTGGAATTTTTAATCCAGCTTCTAATGTATGTCCTTCATTTTACACAGCGCAATATGACGAATTACCGTTTTATGACAACTCCCAAAATACAATAAAATATAAGAACTACCCAAGCGTGTGGGTTTGATCGTGGTTAGAGCAAGAGTAATTGAACTGATATGTTTTTCTACCCACTTCAAAGTTTAAAAATTTCACAGGTAAAACTTGAAGTTGTACCTGATCATTCGAATACAACTTCAACGAGTGTGGTTCCATTTTCAACTGCGTCATCCCTATCGCCGAAAACAAGCATGTTCATACCGTCCAAACCGGGAGTTAAATTTGCGACATCAATGACAATTAAAGAAAGCGCAGAAGCCGCGCGAAAAGTGAGAGACCCACTGGAAATGTCTATCACACAGGTAAAGAATGAAATGAATTTAATAATATTTACTGACAGATAAGATGTTTTTCAAAACTGTCCTCACTTTCTGCGTAACTACACCGGTAATTTTGCCCTGATTAGCACCATATTAAACGAATTCATTCAAGCGAACCACAGCCAGAATTTGTATGTTTGATATATTCAGAATCTCTGATGTCAAAAAAAAACGTAACACGGCATTCCGGCATGCTATTTCAAACAAATAGATATTCATAAGAAAACCGTAAATTTGAATATTTCCAGGAATTCGACAAAGAAAATTCCGTAAGAACAATCGTCCAATCTAACCGGGATTTTGAGATTAAAGAAAAGCCTGCACTAATATCTGCCAATGGACAAGTTGTTTCAGGCATAGAACACACAGCAAGGCCAGAATGTTTGAAGCCAAAGAGCTATACAACAGATGGTGATAGCGGGATTAGCAGTGCCTGTGATGTATCTGATGCAGGATCGCCATCGTTCTTCCGAGGAACTCGTACGGATATGAATTCGCCACAATCAAGTAGGATCAGTTACAAACAGGTAAATACCAGTTAAATGCTGCATTGCCCATATAATTCTATATACGGTATTGAGATACGCCCAACCTTGTCTTGTTTACCGGTACCGCCTCGTGCTGACAGTTTTTTACGCCTCGCGCTCTGAAATAAATCATGACTCAAGGGCGCCCTCCACGAAGTACCGGTATCTATATTTTTAATGAAGAATAACTGAATTACGCATAGGTATATAAAGATGTATTTTACAGCATAAGTATAAAATATAAATAGAAACTTGACATAAATTTTCTGTGATACTTTGAAGACGTAGTTCAATATGAAACAATATAAAAATATACATAAACTACCTTTTTATTAATAAACCCATGTATAATTTCAGATATTAGACGGCTCTGTCCCAGAGCCTAACGCCGAGCACCCACAAGGGCGAGTCTACGAACGGCATTTGCAAGAGTACATGCAACGGCCTTACCCAGCTTCAACTCATCCGATGCCACCATCATATCGAAATCTGCAGACTAGACCCCAGTCACCCTATAACTCGACATCGTGGGATATTTACAATCGGAATTACCAGAAAAGTGACCAAACATCAATGATACCATACTACTTATTTAGAAGATCAAACGAAAACGCAGAACGTAACAGGAGCAACGAAAAACCGATTTTTGTTCATGTATCAGAAATCATGATGAACCGATGAAATCTGAGGTCAAAGGTTATAGAGGTATAACATAAAGACATGACTTGACACTGCATTGAATCTCTAACTTAATTTGAATTCCACAGACACAATTGGAAATAATTACCATGGTGGCGTATGTATCAAAACGACTATATACCCTTGGCTTCCTTCTCAAATAAAATTCTAGATACACGATCAGCGAGATTCACAAGCAAGGGTTGAATAAAATCAAAAAAACACAAACACTTTTGTTCTTAATAAAATGATCAGATCTTTTTCCGAAAGGATGGGATACCGCCTAATGCAATTCTTATTGAACCGAGTTGAGAAACGTAGATTTTCTCATTAATGCTTCGCAATTCTAGCGATGTTAATATCGGGTAATATTGGTCGTTGAGAGATTTTAATATTTTTCTTTCCACTGTAAGATTAATCATTGTTAATATTTGATTTTTCATTCTTATGTTTTTTTTTCATTTTTTATTATTTTTCAATTTTGAAATCTCTTTTGTGATTAGTATTTATACCTTTGACACAGGAAAAGCCATATTTTTCGTAATGTTATAGACAATTAAGTATATAAAACACTTACATTCATACATTCAAACACTACATAGTTTCATCCAATGAGTCACTCATACTATAGTATATAACGAACACATCATAATTTTTTCAGTAATATATAATTGATACCGAATAGTTCATATTCATATTTCTTTATTACTCACAAGGCAGGATTTTTATTCCATTTTTAAATTTCACCTTTAGTTAGCAAATTTGTGTAGAATTTATTTCTTTTCTTCATTTTTTTTTATTTAATGTTTTCTCGTCGAATTATCAATTTGTGATAAAACTTCATCGAAGTTTTGATTGTTATTTTTTAATTAAACGCTCAAAAGTTATGCCTGATTACCATTACAAGTTTATTCATATGAAGTGAGAAATTAGCAAGAATTTGACGGTACATTGGTAACCATCGCAAATCTTCATTTTTAATGAAGATCCTCATTTAAAATGAAGCTTTTTGTACTATTACTCATACTGATCAAATTTCCCTCACCAGCCTTAATCCTTGAAGCTTCAGGACAGTGGGATATTAAGTGTTTGCAAAATTAACTCATAATAGAAATATGAAGAGGCAATTGATGTCAATTCTGTTGCTTCTGGGAAAAGTGTAAAACTTTTTTATTTACATGAGCGTGTATTCACAGAATTCTCAAATTTATTTTCTTGGCATATTTCCACTAATAGTTTATTCATAAAACAGCGAGGGATATTGGCAGTAACATCTACAGGGCAAGTGTAAGCCATTTGCACTATACCGCCACGCTCAGGACTTGCTGCTTTCGCGGAATCATCACAATGTCTTTGAGTATAAATGAGTATATTGTGTTGCAGAATTACCTACGAAACAAGGCCCCAGACTGAACGCTTCATTCCAAAGTGATATTTGATTCCGCGGCTACATGGCAAGCAAACAAAGCCCAGAATACTGCTAAAATAATTCGATATCAACACACATACATCGCTCATTATGAAATGGGCTGGACTAACATAAACCATATATGTAGCAGGCCGTTAACACAACATTCAATCGTGGCCAGACTTAGGCTATATTATGCTAACACTACTAAATAAACTACTGAAAAATACAAAGCAATTCAACGTGTTATTTCTACAAGTACATAGGTCGAACGTGCGATAGAGGTTAAAAATAACATCCCCAGTTGAAGGAAGTCTGCTTTGGTATCAAAAGTTGTATAATGGTAGGATAAACACCTGGGCGGGACTAAACCAAGAAGACAAGATACAAGAAAAGACTTAGACAGTAAGAATTAGCTTTCAATTTGTTTTCTAAACACAGTACATTGTATGAGGTATAATTCCATTACAAAAGCGAAAACCAGTACGGCTTGTTATTGCGGGTATTGCTTTGTTAAATCACGACGCGAAGGCACTGTGTTTTTATTCACCGTTTGAGAAATTGTTCGCTACGGGTTCTGGTTATAAGATTTTACCGAATGGTGTTGAGGAGTTAGATAAAAATATTGAAAATGGCCCATATAGCAAGCGCAAGAAAGGTAATTTTCAAACATATTTGGATTATTTCCTACAAAGCTTAGAAGAGGCGTAATGAATTAATGAAATAATAATTGAAAGAATTATTACATTTGGCAATTAATTGAAACTGCTTACTACCCGCACGTGATTGTTCAAAACATTTATATGCCTTGAGTATAGGGAAGAATGTGGGGTAAATATGAGGAACGCCAAGCCACAGTGTACATTTTCTGATCCGTATTTCGCGGGATTTAATGAGAGGCTTGTCTGCTATTTTGAACAAACAGAGAAATGAGTTGTCATATAGTACAATGGCGTCAGTATACATGACATCACATTATCCTTCTAAGGCCCGATGGGGATATTTGGATATATAACTTGTTCGAAGTGGCTACCAGTTTGCCGTTCATATCTTAATATAAGCTCTCATTTAAGCTTCGAATTGTGAAACGTTTTTGTGATACTGTTACGGTATAGCATTCGGCATAGTCGTAGTTGGGTGTTTAATAAGCACAGTTGGAAATCGCTGAAACGCTAGAATTAGTTTTGTTATTTATTCAATAGGCATCAAGTCCAAGAAAAGCTGATCTCTCATTACGAAGATATTCGTGGGCAATCGGGATGCAATATCCTCTTGAACTTGGCAAACTTTCCCGAATGTCACATTTCGGGACAGGGATCGGAAAAGGTAAAGTAAAAATGGTATTATCTATAATATTCGTCACAACATGAATCCATCCTATTATAATGACGTAACTTTGTGGGGATAGTACAAAATGAAGAATTCACACGGAGATATTTGGACCAATCAAAACTTCCAGTTTCCCGGTTGCCAGATTTTAGAAGTCCCGTCGTAATTTCACAAAATCTTTTGAAAAAAGTGTCTCACAAAAACACATTTTGCTTTACAAGAATCAAAATATCTTGCACGAGGCTTTCAATGATTTATTTTTTATGTTTTTGTAGAACTGCAAGTGCCTGAATGGGATTTTGAAAGCACAATCGACACAAAACCTCTTGGAAGATTATTTTTGCAAAAAAGTCCGAGAGATGTTTTTACGTAAGTACATCAATGTAGTATTGATATATAGACCTCATTCAGCCATGCCTTTATTTTATTTATATTTTATCTTATTTGCTTTCATCTATTTTACCATGGCATGATAACAGCTCATAAACAGCATATACACAAGAGCCTGTATGTCCTTTATGACCCGCACAAACGACGATCAATCACTGTTAAATTATTTTCTTCATTGGCTTATGTTTATTATAGTGCTGAATTTTGTTTTTCTCACAACAAATTTCCCCTTCTCTCTATCTCTGAACATGTTTACGATGTTATATCATTTCCAGAGTGGAATTAAAACGAGAAATGGTTGACAATGACAGAAAATTAAAATCATCAATGACGAGACATAGAAAAGAAATGCAGAAGGAATCGCAGTTATTGGAAAGAGTGAGTACAATTGGGATAATTCCTACTCTAGTTCAAGTCAAAGCAAACAATATTGGAATCTTGTACTCATTTCAAACTGAATACGAAAATGCATATTTTAATTGAATTCATCAAACTAGCAGGGCACAAATTCTAATTAAAACAATTTGGTCAATTACAAGGAAGTAAAAAAAATGTTTAAATTTTTCGTTCAGGAAATGAGAAACCACGAGAAACCATACGTATGCTACAGAGGAAATATAAAATCACGTTTCGGAGATAAATTTAATAATCTCCCATCTTCACTACGTGCAAGACAGGTAAAAGATCAATAAACGACTTGAAAAATGAATTTCAGGGCAGTTATAACTCAAGTTGAATGCCGAGAAATTACCTGTCCAATTACAAAATAATAATCCAACTTCCGATTAAATTTGAAAGATGTACTGCAAACGTCTACTATCTATATTATACTATAAAGCAAAATTATATTAATTTGTGAGTTACCCAAGAAAAACTACATTATGCATGTATTATAGTCCTACTTCTACATACAAAACGTTACGATTTGAAATCTTCTGATGCAAGTGTACTGAACAAAGTGAGCTTGGGAGATAGAGGGCTCGAAACCTCACTCGTGATACTGAAGCCACGCCCACCACAAAAACGTCTGCTAATCGCGTGACTCGTTTATAAACAATAATAGTTGTTTTTGTGTTTATAGGGAAGTAGCTTGACTGAAACCACCAACACAGCAGCACCCATAACTGTCGTGGACGCGGAAACTGTAGTCTCCGAGCAATATGTCGTTTGCAAAAGATGCAAAAAAACATATAAAGAGAGTGGCAACACTGAAACATCTTGCAGGTAATCAAATAAAAAAAAAACGGCCCGTTGGGTGATTCAATCTGGCCCGCCTGATGCTATCACAACCAAACTAAAACCAAATTTAGATGTTCTAGCTAAAAAATAGCTCAAGGAATTTGTTGCGAACAACTCTTCAACAGTTTTTTTTACATACAAAATAATGAATATGAGGGGAGCTGATTTAGATGACCCCCCAGAGTCTATATACCGAATAGCTTTGCGTATGTTGTATGTTTTTATAACTTGTTTTCTGGTTGACTAAAAAAACTCTCTCTCTTTGATCATGCAGGCTCATATTAAATAATCTTTGCATAGGTATGCAATGGTTTTCGAATTTTGAAAATAATGAAATGGGCCGATTCTTCTATCATGCCTTTCATTGCTACTGTTTTTAGATATCATCACGGGCCTATTATTGCAGTATTTGGTGGAATGTGTCAAAACTGCGGTATGTTGGACTACACGAGTGGCTGTGTAGTAGGATTTCATACCAGAAAAAAGCAACGGGTTCCCAGAACAAGGAAAGAACCTATTCAATTATCAGCAGCAGACAAAGTACAACACGAGAGAGTTGATGAAGACGAAGGCATTCAGACGTGAACCACAAAAAAACTAGATGAATGCGAACAAATCTCGGAGAGTTTTGCAGTACACCACAGTTATGTTTACAGACTCCGAAATGCACGCCAGTGATGCGCCTGCGTGTGATGTTTTTTATGTAATTGACTTGGAATATCTTCGAATTGTAAAACTCTAAAGCCGGAAGCTTGATGTCGTGAATTTGGAGTATATATAATGTGCAATTAACAAAAAATTATATTGTATGTCTATTAAACAGGATTCCTGTATTGTGACTTGAAAACCTCCTTTCACGAACTGTATAAAAAGCACGTATCTTTTTTGTGGTGTCGTATTACTTAAAATATATTTTAAAGATTGTTCAAGGTAGTTTTTAAAGCGGTACATTGTTAAAAGGCTCGCCAAAATTTCATTGCAGGCTTATGAAATACGACAAACAAGGAAGCAACGCTCAAATATATGGCCACGAAAGCCAAAATGAAGCAGTACGGAATAATAACCCTTGGCTTGTATTGAAACTAATGGCACGATTTGACTCGTAATATTGCGCAACTGTGTCGTGTGACATCAAATCGATCAACAGGCAAATCGTTATGCGTGAATGCCTACGGTAAACAGTAAATTCCGATCTTCGTGAATCAGTCTTATACGAAGGATACTTCCGCAATTACTGCAGTTCTATATAACCTTTGTCGTGTTAAGCTGGTAAAAACGGGCTATAAAATGGTTCATTTGATTTCAGTGAGGGGTTGTTAAGCACATAAATATAGGCAGAAACAGTTGAGACAACCTAAGCGTTTATTTTTTTACATAATTACTACTGACAACAGCACTATTTTACAGTCGAGCTTTAACCACAGCTAGAAACAAGCGACCATCATAAAAATATAAGCATTTCCAGTTCTATGAAAGAAATTAGCATTTGAGATGGTACTGACAACGGCATTCTTTTAAAATCGAGCTTCAACGACAGCTAGGAACAAGCGACCATCATGTTCAGTTCTATAACAAAATTAGCATTTGAGATGGTAATGATAAAATTAAATTTGAGCCACAAGTCACAAAGCTGTCATCAATTCGTAAGTCTGAATATGATAGAAGTATCTAGACATCGATTTGATAGCATGGTAAACGTGGCTTATGTTATTATTGAAGATAAGAGTTTGTTTTATCGCCGTTGCAAATAGGTACATAATATTTCTGGACTCTTTAATGGCGAGTTCAATACTGTTTTTGTGTTATTGTATTCTGGAATATATCCTTATTAGGTATAGGTGAATCATGGCAACTTATTCAATATTCTGTTCCGAAGTTGCTGCTATTGCCGGAATGAATCCGTTTCAATCGCAACAAGAAGCGATGGAAAAATTTCGAATGAGAGTTGATAGAAAACAATTTATGAATGAGTTGAAGACAAGGGATGAACAACCAGAATGGATCCAGGCAAAACAACTGTGTAACGATAAAAGGTTTTTACCCACAGTGAATGCGGCCACTGTAGTCCCCGCAAATAACCCGAAAGAACTTGATAAAAAGAAGGAGATCGCTAAAAAAGATTTGGAAAACCTAAAAGGTAACGCTACTGACAAGGAAAAGCGTCTTGTTCAACAAGAAGTACGACGGCAAGTTAACACAAATTTCGGAACAAAACTCGAGGAAAAAGTGCGTGAAAGATGGTCACAGACGACCGGTAAAGAAGTAACTGAAGATACTGAAACTCGTGAACAATTTTTCTTTGAAATTGGAAATAACAAATTCGTCCTACGCGGAAAAATTGACGGCATCGTCAAAGAAGAACCAGAAGCGATACTGGAAATCAAATCAAGAGCAAATAAGTTGTTCAAAACTGTGAGAGAGTATGAACGTGTTCAAGTTCAAGCCTACTGCTTTCTGTTTAGATGTGAAAAGGCATATCTGGTTGAAGCTTTAAATACCGGAGATGATTTTGAAATGGATTGGACTACTGTAATAAGAGATGAAAAATTTTGGCGACTTATTTCAGAAAATACAAAAAGGGCACTTGAGCCGTACTTTCCTGGTACTACATGTAGTTCCAGCCACAGCGAAGACGATGTGAAGTCAGAAAATTAGTGAGAATAACTACTTCATTCCATTATATTTACTCTAGTTACAATGGCACTAATCCGAATGAGACGCTAAGCTACCGGAGAAACCTTTGCAGTTTACTTATTGGTGTCTCTTTATGAGATGGCCGTGCAAGCGACCAACACAATTTGAGGTTATGATTTTGGCATGATGTAAGACTGCGACCACATATTTTCTCGTTTCAGCACTATTTCTATATTACCCTAGTCATTTTTATACCCTTTTCACACAATTTTTATCATGTCAACATGTTATGCACTGGTTTAAATAACGATATTATTGTTTGGATATTTCTTACTCAGGGTAATTTTATCACAATAATATGCAATCAAATCAGCAGCACTTGGTATGTATTTCATGCAAATAAATTATCTTTTCCTTAATTAAATATAATTTTAGGAAATCGTGATTGTTATCTATGCAATATATTTGGAAAAAAACTGCAAATCAGTCCGAGCTTTATTCTTATTTTAAAAAAATGTTCAAAATTTCCAATGACTGTTACACAATAGTTATGAGCAAGTAAAATATTAAATAAGTATAGACAAGACAATATTATGGTTTTGAATTTGAAGTTTATTTAGCCTACTGGGAGCTTCAGGATGGCGACAACCTAACTGGATCTTCAAATTTGAAATCTGATAAGCGACATACATACCAACACTTTGAATAACGAATAATCTAATATTAATTTAGATTGTACGCATACTTCATGAAGCAGTACGGAATAATCAGTCTTGGCTTTTATTGAAACTAATGGCACGATTTGACTCGCAATATTACGCAACTGTGTCGTGTGACATCAAATCGATCAACAGGCAAATCGTTATGCGTGAATGCCCACGGTTAACAGTAAAAACAGTAAATTCCGATCTTCGTGAATCAGTCTTATACCGAAGGATACTTCCGCAATTACCGCAGTTCTATATAACCTTTGTCGTGTTAAGCTGGTAAAAACGGACTATAAAATGGTTCATTTGACTTCAGTGGGGGATTGTTGAGCACACAAATATAGGCAGAAATAGTTGAGGCAACCTAAGCGTTTATTTTTTTACTTAATTACTACTGACAACGGCGTTATTTTAAAGTCGAGCTTCAACGACACCTAGAAACAAGCGACCATCATGAAAAATATAAGCATTTCCAGTTCCATGTAAGAAATTAGCATTTGAGATGGTACTGACAACGGCATTATTTTAAAATCGAGCTTCAACGACAGCTAGGAACAAGCGACCATCATGTTCAGTTCTATAACAAAATTAGCATTTGAAATGGTCATGATAAAATTAAATTTAAGCCACAAGTCACAAAGCTGTTATCAATTCGTAAGTCTGAATATGATAGAACTATCTAGACATCGATTTGATAGGATGTAAACGTGGCGTATGTTATTATTGAATATAAGAGTTTGTTTTATCGCCGTTGTAAATAGGTACATATTATTTCAAATATTAGAATCGTGGACTCTTTAGTGACGAGTTTAATTCTGTTTTTGTGTTATTGTATTCGGGAATATATACTTATTAGGTATAGGTGAATCATGGCAACTTATTCAATATTCTGTTCCGAAGTTGCTGCTATTGCCGGAATGAATCCGTTTCAATCGCAACAAGAAGCGATAGAAAAATTTCGAATGAGAGTTGATAGAAAACAATTTATGAATGAGTTGAAGACAAGGGATGAACAACCAGAATGGATCCAGGCCAAACAACTGTGTAACGATAAAAGGTTTTTACCCACAGTGAATGCGGCCACTGTAGTCCCCGCAAAAAAACACGAAAGAACTTGATAAAAAGAAGGAGATCGCTAAAAAAGATTTGGAAAACTTGAAAGGTAACGCTACTGACAAGGAAAAGCGTCTTGTTCAACAAGAAGTACGACGGAAAGTTAACACAAATTTCGGAACAAAACTCGAGGAAAAAGTGCGTGAAAGATGGTCACAGACGACCGGTAAAGAAGTAACTGAAGATACTGAAACTCGTGAATAATTTTTTTTTGAAATTGGAAATAACAAATTCGTCCTACGCGGAAAAATTGACGGCATCGTTAAAGAAGAACCAGAAGCGATACTGGAAATCAAATCAAGAGCAAATAAGTTGTTCAAAACTGTGAGGGAATATGAACGTGTTCAAGTTCAAGCCTACTGTTTTCTGTTTAGCTGTGAAAAGGCATATCTGGCTGAAGCTTTAAATACCGGAGATGATTTTGAAATGGATTGGACTACTGTAATAAAAGATGAAAAATTTTGGCGACTTATTTCAGAAAATACAAAAAGGGCACTTGAGCCGTACTTTCATGGTACTACATGTAGTTCCAGCCACAGCGAAGACGATGTGAAGTCAGAAAATTAGTGAGAATAACTACTTCATTCCATTATATTTACTCTAGTTACAATGGCACTAATCCGAATGAGACGCTAAGCTACCGGAGAAACCTTTGCAGTTTACTTATTGGTGTCTCTTTTATGAGGTGGCCGTGCAAGCGACCAACACAATTTGAGGTTATGATTTTGGCATGATGTAAGACTGCGACCACCTTTTTTCTCGTTTCAGCACTATTTCTATATTACCCTAGTCATTTTTATACCTTTTTCACACAATTATTATCATGTCAACATGTTATGCACTGGTTTAAATAACGATATTATTGTTTGGATATTTCTGACTCAGGGTAATTTTATCACAATAATATGCAATCAAATCAGCAGCACTTGGTATGTATTTCATGCAAATAAATTATCTTTTCCTCAATTAAATATAATTTTAGGAAATCGTGATTGTTATCTATGCAATATATTTGGAAAAAAAACTGCAAATCAGTCCGAGCTTTATTCTTATTTTAAAAAATGTTCAAAATTTCCAATGACTGTTACACAATAATTATGAGCAAGTAAAATATTAAATAGGTATAGACAAGACAATATTATGGTTTTGAATTTGAAGTTTATTTAGCCTACTGGGAGCTTCAGGATGGCGACAACCTAACTGGATCTTCAAATTTGAAATCTGATAAGCGACATACATACCAACACTTTGAATAACGAATAATCTAATATTAATTTAGATTGTACGCATACTTCATGTAAGTATACTTTACAACATAGCGATTCTCAAGCAAATTCTTCAGTTCGAATTTAATACCTTCAAAATCTGTTTTCAATACGTTCTATACTAATTGGGAGACTAAACACTGAACATGTCCGCGGGAACATTGTGAAAATGCACGTATTTCCGAAAATGTACAACAATCCTGGTTAATTCTGACCTTATATACGCATTTATATATATATACAGGAAATAATATTGGTTTGAAATATTAATTCCGGCAGTTGTTGACAAATACAAAAGGCTCTAACATGCTGATGACACATATAAATAAATAAAATATAATGCGGAAGGCGTATTCCATATTAGTCTACATTATATTCTGGCTATAACCTTATGAATCATTACGAACCTTTGATTGTTCCTAGTTGTATGTCTCGCTTCCGGAACATAGGGTCAAAGGTGTTTGAAATAGGACTGATCCATGTAACAACTAAGCACAATATAAAATATACTACCAAATACACTCGAGTGTGATTATAGACGGCCGCGTTTGTTCGGGAATATGAGGAATCAAATTTACAAGCAGCATCACAACAACTCAACTCCACTTTAATGCTGTAGAGAGCTATTGAGACTTGAGAGATGTACAACAAAGATATGCTTTTTAATGTCATCGTGCGCCATTACTTCCCTGTCGTAGAGGAAGTCGATTGCTATGCTTATATGGTATAGATTTTCGAGATTTAATAGGGTCTGTATTCAATCTAATTAAATTTTAACATACTGTGACCAAAATTCAAGACGAAATTCAATCTCGTTTTGGAATACCAAATTATGTGTTCATTTTCGGCATTATTGATCCAAATGTGTCTGATGTAAATCTGTAGTATACATAATAGATGAAGTAAAAAATGGTGTTTTTGTGTATGTTACACAGAGGATCCGATTGTCTGCTGTCATATGTTTCAAGTAAGGTGATCCTTGCTTAGTATTTTGACCTGACTTCATACATGCAGGCGTACATTATGCGAGATACAAAAAGAATTGACTTCTTACAATATTTAGACTGAAACGGTTGTTCTGACTGAAATTCGCAGTAAATTTTGGCAAGATATGTGATTGTTCACTCAATCTATACGTGATGTTCAAATGAAATTTTTTATCAGTAATATTACAATAGTGAACATATTGTGTTGTGGAAATTTATCAAAAAGTCAGAAACGCAATTTGGTGGATCGCAAAGAGGGCACAGCTGGTTAGAAACAAAAAGCCGAGATCAGCTTATAGTTTATAATTTAGAAACAATGCTATATTAATATAGGTTATATGGTAAAAATACATCTTAGATTGTCACAGTATAGAGTATATACATATATATATATATATATACAAATATGTTGTCGTGGCTTGGAATTAGTTCTGATGATGCCTCAAACAGTGACGAAGAAGAGGAAGCCCGTCACCTTTTTGCACACAAGTTTCTTATGAAAACAATGTCGGAGAATGAATTATCTCAGGTTCGTTAATTTCCTCGCTTTTTGTGGGTGTGTGAATAGGTGTCCTTGAGAAGCTGTCGTTCACGATTAGGAGCTATTGGGATAAAAACCGCAGGGTTATTTAAAATCGTAGATTGTTGCATCCCGGGTAAGGGGTGAGATGTTTGGCGTAAAATAAACTTAAAATTAGTGGCCGGGCGTCGAGTCCATTGTCTTCCACCTTAAATGCCTAAATAATGTGAATAACTCGCTACAGGCTATCCTCTCCACTGCCTGGGGCATTGTTATATATATATACTTGCTAAACATAATAAAATATATTCACTGTTTTATATGACATTTAAAACTTACAACTTGACAAGTGTGTTCCCTAACGTTGAATATAGCCCAATTCGATTAAATAACCAATCGATTTCTCCTTTGTAAATCCCGAGAAATGAATTATGTATCGCTAATTGGGCTCGTTGTGTACTAAAAGCCTCTAATTGTAGCCTACTCTTTACTTTAAAATATTTATTGAAAGGGATGGAGAACGTCATATTCATAAAAGACGGTGGAATCTACCGCGACTAGGTTTTGCAAGATATAGCATGTTTATATTGAAACGTTCATACCGTAGCTCAGTATTAATATTTTCGTTTCAAAAGTAGAATTATGCACGTAACCTCTTATGATTGAATAGATAAATATAGCGCTCATAAAGCATCTTGAAAGATCGGACGAATAGGGCTTTCGAAAAGGCGCATCCCGTTTTAACATTGATTTCTCAATAAGAAAAAATTTAATCAATCGCTAAAGACTGGTTGATAAAAATGGAATGAATGAAAAGGGGAAATTAATTGATGAAATTGATGTCCCACAACCGCAAATATTTAGCGCAGCACTAACTGTGTCCAATGACATAAATTGCTGCGTCCTACGGTTCTCACGTGAAACCGTTGCGTGAAACACAATACATCGATGGTAAAAAATGACGTCATAGCAAGGCCGGCTATTCGCAAACCCAGTTCTGCTATATCCTGATATCAGTGCATCTGGAACATTGTTCTGCCGTTGGGCAGTCAGACAGTACTGCAGTAGGCGCAGTTTTCGGTTAATCAGAAATAACTATTATCTTATTGACATTTTACGCAATCATTTCTTTGTGGTAATAGTACAGTGGTAGCAGTCTATTCCAGTATTCACTTAAAAGAGAATACAATAAACATACGGTACGGTACCATTCGTCTACTTACAAAAAATTCACGTATCGCAGTCAAGCTATGAGTGTCAGCAGGCGACAGGGCGAGGGAAAGTACGGTACAGAAGTGCTAGAATTCGGGTATTGTAGTGTTCAATTAGAGTTAAAGTAATTTATATATACTGGATTAACCGGTACCGGTATGGTAATTTATTTGAATCTAAGTCCAGAAGTACGGTAACATATTTTCAGTATTCACTAAAAATCAACTTCATTTCCAATAAATTCTGTATTAAGGCAACCATTTCTCAGTTTAGCTGTTTTATGTAAAGAAATTCAATAAAACAGTGAAAAATAATAATTATATCTGTATAGATTTTCATTAACACACCTAATTATTGAACATTATATCAGTTACATAATTGTAATACCATATATTTATATTTCATTAATTTAAAATCAATGAAAACTTAGCACTGCTGTAAATGAAGAGGGATTTGGCTGTTTCCATGAATGCTGCTTTATCGGTTGGTTCACGATATAGTCAACACGCGCAGCAAAACAGAATATAAATAAATTAACAAGCAAAGTTTTGAAGCATATTATTCAGAGCATCTGAAACAATAATTCATGGATTGCACCTATTGAAATGGAGTTTGCTGAATATATTCCGGTATAAGTTTATATTGATTACACTGATCCTATTTTTATGACATTAGGGCCATTCCAAGCAAAAGTTGAATTCCATCAATTTTTCAAAAAGTGTAGTGAAAGTATTTTTATTTTATTTTTTATATCAAAAGACATTGGAATTTTATTGGACTGCATTCATTCCATCGAACAATTTAAAATTTCTCCCAGGTTTTTGATGGTTTATAAAAAATGGCCTGAAATGTAGAAATTTTGGTATAAGTGACATATTTTGTGATGATTCCTGACACAAAGTGTTTGATTGTGTGGTACAGTTATTTCATATGGAATTGACACACTGGATTTAAGTTAATAAAGTTTAAATGTTTGCAGTGCTGTAGGACATTTCTTCACCCATTTAACGATTTATAACCAGAATTTTGAGAGATGATAGAGGCCGCTATTCCAAAGTGGAAAAATGTCCTGTAGTGTCACGTCCTGTAGTGTCACATACAATATGCACGTTATTGGCATGGATTTACAGTGTTACATTAAGTAACTTGAGCAACACATAGAGGGGTAGTTCAGCTACTGCACCAGAAAATATTATGGGCCTACTGTACCATCTGAGTCAGGTTGGATGTAACTTTTGTGCAATTTTTTACACATTCAATAAAGCAACTGATTGGACAATGAAACAAAACATGTAGCTGAAAATGTGAAAATATATTGCATCCAACAATATGCAAAATTTCTGGAATTGTCCTGTAGTGTCACTTCGAATAGCCCATTAATCGAATTTACAACATAAGCGTGCAACTAAGCTACGGCATGGTTTCCGAATTCAATAATAGTCCCCACATTGAAAGAAATTAATTACAAGAGTGATTGCAAACTCCTTCTTTCATGTCATATTGCTGTATTGGCAAACCAGCTCAGTGAAACTAACTAAAACGAAGTGCAATCTAAGAACTTCACCATTGGATTCCTCTGAAAATAATAATAAAAATTGTTACCATAGCATTCGATAGTTTTCAGCAAAATAGCGAAAGGGTCACAGATTAATTATTAAGTATTATTGAGACAAGCCTGGCGTGATCTGACGCATCTGTCTTTGTGTCAAATGCCCTCGTTTCAGTGACAAATTGAGTTTTTCATTTATTGGGAGGAATGTCGATAGAACTGAAATCGGAAAACTGCTACCTTCTAATTTTATTGTCTATTTATATTTGAATAACATGGGTGGGTATCTGCTCATATTGTGAGTTTTTCATTATTTGAGATAAGTTTTGAATGTTGAATTGGTTGAATGTTTAGAATCTGGCTTACTTCACAATATTTTTAATTTCTCCATATTCTGGGGTTGAATGTAGCCATTACTAGTTTGATAACATCAATCAACAGATAGTCCCCATACATATACTTTAATATATACAGGTTGAAGATCAATTGTTTTGTAAAAATTCACTATATTTATCAAATTTTCATTTTCTCTTATAGACTCCTAAAGTTGAAGGTGTTTGGTGTTACAATGGACAAAATAAAGCAATATCAGGAACATTATGCCTAACTGGACATCATATGATATTGTATGCAGATGATACCAGTTCAGGAGAAATTTGGATTCAGTATATGAACATAGACGCTGTCGAAAAAAGGTAATTCATGAAATAAGTGTTCTGATATACAAAAAGCTTGATGAAGCATTCCCGACACATCTTGATACCGCTTAAACTAAAAACTTGAAAATAAGGCTTCTAAGTAAGTTTGATAAATCAAGGCGCCTGCCCTTGTTAAGGAATGTTCAATGGTGACACAAAAAGGGTTTGGGTCATGCTAAGATGGCAATTAACAGGGGCCATAAAAGTTATTGTTTTGTTATTTACACATATTTACTTGTATTGTTATTTACCTATACTTTTGACATGTTTGTAGTTGTCTTCCTAATTTCACTTAAATTTGAATGAGCCCAAAATAATTTGAATTGTTGAAATAAACGATATTTTTATTATCACAGTCAATCCATTCTCTAATATCAAAGCCACGGTTTTGAGTTACTTGTGAATGATTATTTAAACTGTTATATTTAGTATCGTCATCATAAGCAAAGCTATGACTTGTTATAATTTCCTCATAACATGAGTCATTGTATTGTCTATTTAAAGAAAAATATTTTGTATATACTGTATTTCACATGGACAATAGAATGGAAAAGCCCGAATATTCTTATTCATCTATTGCCGTGGTTTCTGACAATTTCCTCTCATAAAGTAGTGCAATCCTTCAGTAGGAGGGAATTCTTCCCCGACCGAGAAACACTAGTTTATTGCATGAGAAAATAATGGCCAATACATAGGCCAATGCACAACCAATGTATGTTTTTTCAGTCATTTTCTGTTTGCTGCTCAGATTCAAATAAAATGATTGTGATTGTGACTTGAATAGAGCCAAGAAATCACAATGCATCTTTTAAAACACTCGTATTTGGTCAGCGTCATTCTAAATTGTAACAAAGTTATATTTATATAGCATAATAATTTCAATAGTATTTAGCCTTCATAATTCCAATATATCCAATTTCTGCATTGTTTTTCAGAATTGGATTGGATAAAGGCACTTTGGTTCTTAGATGTAAAGATCTCCAACAAATACAACTTACTATACCGGGAGTGGAAGATGCCACGAATGTCGCTTATACAGCAGAAGTAGAACCATTTAACATATCTTTAACTATTGGCTCCAGATTATGTTTTTCAATTTTTGATTATTATATCTTTCACTAGTCAATATGACAAGGTTGGTTATGTTTTTCAGATATTATCAAGCATTACAGATCCTTGTTTACAATTCCCGTTTTTCTACCGAGCCAAATTTAAATATGATGAAAATGGATGGGATTTATATAACATCAATGATTGGTATAAAGAGTTGCAAAGCAAGGTATGACGATTTTTTTTTTTTTGAATCTCATAATACTCTTGTTATTGTGATATATAAAAGATTGCCAAAAGTAAGATCACAAGATCTCGGATATAAGTTGAAAATTATTAAAATAAAAGTTATACTTGCTATGCTAACAGTTGCATAGATTTATTGTTGATACAGAGATGCAAGTAAATATTTGTAAATTGCCACAATGATGTTATTGTGTTACATTCTTTCCAAATAATGTATTTGATGACGGTGCCAGACTAATTTAAAAAGTCGACAATTTAGTATACTGGTTAGGATCTCATTTACCAGTACGATATTACTGTGTGCCGGATTTGACAGGTTTAAACCGGGCGTTGACCCACATCGCCGCAGCAGAACTAAATTAGATTATGTGACATTGTGAGGTTTTGAGCACTTTGTAATTTTTGGATCTGTATAGCCAAACCTTAAAATAGTGATAAGACACTACCTAAAACAGATACAGCTTTAAAACCCAAACCAACAAATAGTCCCTGTTTCATAATGACCGAAAATAAAAAAAAGTCTCTTTCTGAAAAATGTGAATTAACTTAATTGGGTTTTACCGTCACTGTGGTGACATAGTCTACCTGACTTGCATATTTGGAAAATTAGTGCCCCTACTAAGTTTTAACTGATTTAAATTTGACTTTGCTTTATCGGATATATAGTTTATTTACAGTAAATTTTCTATTAAGACTGATAAATGGCGACTTTCGGATGTAAACTCTGATTTTGGTGTTTGTACTTCATATCCGAATCAAATCGTGGTACCAAGTGAAATAGATGATTCAATGATACAAAAATCAGCAAAATTTCGACAAGCAGGAAGATTTCCAGTCTTGTGTTATTACCACAAGAATGGAGCGGTAAGTATTAGAAATAAAGAGTTTCTCAAACTCAACCCTTGAGCCCCCTATTAATGGAGCACAAAATGAGTGATGGAATTGGAAAAAATTTAAAACCAAAACTAGGTATTTTCATTGGTGATCTCGGGGTCACAAATGTTGAGAATCTTCAGAAGGGGTCAAGGACCATGAAAGTTTGAGAATTACTCAAATAGAATAAAACTTCAATGAGGGTATTTAAAACAACTGAGAAAAAATAAATTAAATGATCATTTTCTTTTGTCTGAATAATATATCAATATAATTGATTAGGAAATACTATATTTCCTTATTAACGTTGCAACATTGGTTCCAAACATGAAGTACAGTCATACTTAGTCAAGTGATATATTAGTTATTATTACAGGCTTAAGTATTTTTCAATATTGCGAATTATCAATTATAAGATTGTTTTTTAAATTACTTGTTGAATTTTGGAATTGACCAGATAATTTGAATATAATACAAATTTGAACAAACAATTTACAGCAATAACAATCTTCGCATATATAACATCATTTGGCCAAAACACCATTGTCTAATATTACTTGTTAGGAAATAAGAGCAGTACTGTTTAGCAGTTGATACAATACTGGGAGAATTCGTGGGCAGATCCATATTAAATATACTCAAACTCAGGATTTCTTTGTAATTTAGTAATTCATTGTTTTCAACAGTCCATTATACGATCAAGTCAACCGCTAGTGGGAGCTAATAATCGTAGATGTAAGGATGACGAAAAGTTACTTAACGCAATGCTGGGTCCATCACATCGTGGATATATTCTTGATATAAGGTTCGTCAATTTTGTTCAAATACTGAAACTTTAATTAATTTCAAAAGTAAATTTGATGTCATTCACAGGCGACTTGGTTCGGTTTTGTTTAGAGTTATATATGAAACCTTTATGTATTAAACAGGTCGGTGCAAACTGCGGTTCAAGCAAAGGCAAAAGGTGGAGGATATGAGTCTGATCATCAATATCCTAGATGGAAGCGATTTACTATGAACTTATACAGGTAAATACTAATCTTATTTTTTAATCAAGTCTATCTGCTTTTTCAGCGAGTAGTGGAATCTCAGTCCCAAAATTCAGAGCTGTGAGTCAAGCGTCATCCAGCGTTCCAGCAAATTATAAAGGCACAAGTCATGCAGAATCTTGAATCAAGTTCACTATACGACAGTGAAACAAATAAATAGGAGTGTTACATTTACTGTACATCCTCGCATATAACCCCACTCCCTAAAAGCGACCCTAAAATAATGCATTTTTGAAAATTTGCATATATAAGCCGACCCTACAAGTATTAACACGCAATATGTGTATGACAACCAATCACAGACTGTTATTGCTGTCATAGCGTCAAAAGCGCTTCTTCGCTTGTGTGCGTGTACTCTCTTATCGCGAGAACTTGGCCTCGTCAAGAGTCATTTCGTTTGATTGCAATCAGAATCACGCACATATTACCCGACCCGTTAGTGTTATGTGCGTATAAGCCGACCTCTTAGTTTAGCAACATTTTTTTTTCATGATTTTTGAACTTGGCTTTTATGCGAGGATAAAGATAAATTAAGAATTGACTTTACCGTCTTGCATGCACTATCACTTACATGCAGGCTTCACAAGAAAAACATTTTTCTGTCAAAGTCATTTGATATCTTAACAGTATATTATAAACCTAGGCCTGGGGCAATATTCTATGTCTTTGCTTTTCAAAATCCTAATACGTTTCCTATTTCAGTTATTACGTTCAGCAAGAGAGCCTAATACGAATAGTAGAAGCTAGCAATGATAAATCTGGAAGTATGGACAGATGGATGAGTAAATTGGAATCATCAGGTTGGATGGGATATATCAAACGTGCTATGGATGCTGCTTGCCTTGTTGCTCAGTGTGTGGACAGGTTGGCAAAGTATTTTTTATGAAGTAGGATTTCCCGAACCAAAATAGAGCAATTTCTTTGAAATGAATTATATTTTTGGGCACTCCGGAAGTGTGAGTACCAATATGGAGGTAAATAATTTTGTTCGCCTCCTTTACGTCAAGTTGTGTAAAGGGACTGAAACCTTTGGGCAGGGGGTATATCCAGTGGTGGGATTCAGCTGGTTCGCACCGGTTCTATAGAAACGTCTCACGAAATTTTATGAGATCAGCGAACCGGTTAGCATTACTGGTTACTGTCAATGCTCTGTTTCTAACAGAACCGACTGAAAAATATAACTTTTGTGAAAGAACCGGCTGACAAGAAATTTGAATCCCACCACTGGGTATATCCACTTGGCTAACACAGACAGTCTCCGACTCGTGATATAACTAAAATAGGGAAAATCGGAATAAAATTATGGCCTAGCCCTAACCTGGCTACACACACTACAGGAGTACTCATTTTGGATAGAAAATATTTTGAACATTATTGTTTGAAAATTGAATTTTTCAAAGTAAGCCCCTAGTTTTTTTTAGTGTTTTATGGAGTTTTCTTTTGTTATGGGGATCTTGAACATGAAAGCTCATTCATTCTATATAAAAGCTTGAGTTTGAATAGGTATAAATGACTCAGTTAGAATCAGCTTCACCTTATTTCCAGGGAAGAATGGTCAGTTCTTGTTCATGGAGCAGAGGGTTTTGATTCCACTCTCACTGTGACGTCACTCGCTCAAATAATACTCGATTCTGAGTGTCGAACAATTCGAGGATTTCTTGCACTTATTGATAGAGAGTGGATTTACTCAGGTCACCCATTTGCAGATAGATCTGCTCACGGTCCTTACAGGTAACGAGTAAATGTTGTTAGTTTACAAGCAAGTATGAATTATATTTTTCTGAAACTTCAAATTGTTTTAATATACAAAAAGGAACGTTATTTTTTAACCATTTTGATTTCGATTAGGGCGGATTTCAGTAATAACATTTAATCAGATTTTGAACAAAACAAATTCTTATATTTTCGTCATTTCAAATGACTTTTATCACAGTGGTTCCCCACCTTTCATGGCTTGTGGCCCTCTTCCGGAGTCTTTTAGCACTCATGGCCCTCCTATTTATCTTTCCAGCGGTATTTGAAGTATTATTTTGATTGACAGATTCCAAATTCTGTTATGTTCAAACAATTCATGCTCAGCAAAGTGAAAACATCCTGTGAAATTACCTTATCAAGCAATGAAACTAGGGAGAATAGGGAGTTTTCTTGTAAAGTGAAAAGTAGAATCCTCCTTTAACTGCTCCGTGGCCCCCTTTGGGGCTATGGGCTTCCAGTTGGGAACCGATGTTTTACATGTTTAGCTACTGCTAATATCTGGGGAACTACTATGTTTAACCTTTGACACCAACCTGTCGGGTTTGTTTATTATCCAGCTTGATAATGGAGGTCATTTTAAAATATTTTAATATATTTTTTTACAGTAGCAACAAACAGAGAGGCGAATCTCCTGTGTTTTCAATATTTCTGGAATGTGTTTTTCAACTTCTTCATCAATTTCCTTTGTCTTTCGAATTTACTTCAACTTTACTTGTTGACCTTAGAATGCATTCATATTCATCACAATTTGGAACATTTTTGTTTAACCACATGAGAGATAGGTGAGGTTTTTCTAATTCTGACTGCAACATCTCTATCAAGCTTCTTAAGAATAATGTTTCTGCTTCGATAAGATTTGCACTGAATCTAAGACTGAAATTTTTAAGAAAATGCGCCATGTCACACCTTCGCTTTAATCATGATGCAAGGTTTTATAAAGAAGCTACTGGACATAAAGGCTGATCTTTCTAATTCGACATGTCCAACCCTGGGTGCGGCATCAGTATTCATTAGAGTAGCTCTCTAACGTAGCTCAATCGACAAAATCAAAATAGTCAACACAACATTTACTATGAGTCACTCTCGTATGATATGGAAACTTAAATTACAAATATGCAAAATTTATTGCGGTACAAATTTTTCTTCGAAGGCAAGCATAAACAGATTTCTTGTTTTGATATCTACAAGAATTGCATAGTCTTAAATAAAATCTTACATTAAATGTCTATAACACTTGAGTACCTTTATATTCCAATAACCGTACTTTGAGCAATTCACACTAATATGTTCAATTAACATTTACAATGAATTGTTGTAACAGTGATTGTTTATCCCTCTTCAGAGTTCGAGGAAAGCTTCATCACAAAACAATTTCATTATGGACATATATTCTGTCACCTGCTATCTTCCCTAAATATATTAATCCTCTATATAAAAGAAGAAATGACAATATATGGCCTTCAGTTGCTCCACAAAGTTTGGAGTTTTGGGAAGGTAAGCCTTACATGTGAAAGAATACCTTAAATACAAATGGTAAATAGTCATACACCCATGTATGGAATTATGTTGCAACTATGTGTTTTTTATTTACTTGCAAAAAAACGTAAGATTAGCGTAAAATAGATTATAAATGAACTGAATTTAGAAAAGCATTATACAACACAACCAGAATTCTTATATAATGATTTTGTGCAAAATAGCTTTTTTTTAAGTTGTTTGACTAAAAATGATAAAATTAGTGAATATTCAAAATTGTGAAACGTGCGATGAAAAAATGGACTTTATTAAAGCATTAATAACATGCCTCACCATCAAATCTTGTGATGTAATTTTGGTCATCATTTTTTATAGTCTCATCAGAACAATACTAAATTCTGCAATCAAAAACATCCAAGGTTGAATTATATATAATACCTTTACAGAATTATTTACACCATGGTCAACGCCTAGGAATGAAGCCTTAGAACGGGTGAAGTCCCTCGAAGCAGAACGTATAGAGTTAGAATATCTTACTACTAAGTTAGCGAAAAGAGTTGGTAATGTTCCAATCAACGAGATACAAAATTTAACCATCGGTCAAATGGATGAAAAAAAGGTTTCAAACAGGAAAAGTGCAATGAAGAATGAAAAACTGAATAAGAAGAAAAATGAAAACTTCGTGAATGAGAACGCTGCGATGAATGGCCCAAAATTGCTCGATTTTACTGAATTTCCGAGACCAGAAAAATTTGAGGATCTGGTATCAGATGAGAAGAGTAATAATTATTATATGCCTATTGATGCGCCACAGCATTTTTCGAATGATACTGACATCCCAAATGGGCTTCCACTACAGCGGCCTAATCTCCTAGACGATTTAGCGGCTTTTGTTAATCCATCTTCAAGTCAAGAGTTACCGGAAAAAGTGGAAACAAACTCATCTAAGGAATCTCCTTTAATTGATTTTGATCATTTTAGCGTCCCGAATTCAGAAAATAGTACGGATTCGGCCCAACAATCGAGCGAACCAAGTTTGATTAATATTGATGAGGATTTTAGTAACGAAAAAATAGAAACTGATCCTATCTTAAGTAATTCGAATTCTTTGAATGACTTATATGAATCTCCTATATAAAGATAAAATTTGAGAAATTTTCTGTATGGAGCTGTGTAAGGTATTCGAGTTACAACTAATATTATTCATCCGCCATGCTTTAATTATTATTTAATTTGACCTCTTTATGATCTGCACTTGTATTTATTCCTCCTATATGTTTCTGAAATTTATTCATAATCATTAATTTATACAAAATTGCGATCAAAAATCATCATTTTAGACTCAAAAATTGATTGTTTAAACATATATAAAAGATGTAATACACATCACATTAGCCAATTTGAAATATAGTCCATATCAAATGTAGCATCTATTAAATGATTAGTTTTACAGTATAGAATATACTGACTTGATAGTACAGTGTATATTATTATATTATAGTGGTACTATTTCTTAGTCTAGGGGGTAAAGCTTTGCTCTTCAGTGGAAATTCATATGCCATGTATTGAAGCTTTCTTTTATTTGTTGCAACCTGGCTTATATTTTTAGGCAAATTATTCCTTCTATATGTTTATGCACAGTAGTGATTGCGTGCAATAAAGCATTAATCTAACGTCTGTATTGTGTGTGTGCAGAGGTGAAGAATATGGTTCGAATATTAGATGGTATGTAAGTTGACTGAAAAAGGTAGTGTGTGGGGCTGCCTTGCTCTTAGCACAACCATCAAAACTAGTAATATCAAGACATGCTTTATGCTGCTAACAGAGACTTTTAGTCTCCATGGCCAAGGGCAATTACTATGTAAATCTGCATTAGATTATAAATTCTGATCATTACGGACTTTATTAACATACAAAACGAACTATGCTTTTTAGGATTGATACTTGAAAGTGTACATAGATGCAGCTCCACTTCGCAGTCTTGTACTATTTAAGCGAACTCCAGGGATCAAATTTCAATAGACTGTTATTAAGAACACTCATCCATCACCTTACCCCGCATGAGTTGGAGAGGTTTGCTAGTCAACTCGCCGTCATCTAACTGCTGGTCGGTTGGTTACAGCTCCCTACACCACCAAGTTCATGCATTTGAAACAAATAACTGGCTAACTAACCTCACACCCAACATGAACTCTTGCTGAAACTCTGATTCAATATCTATTTTACTGCTCCCAATTATTAAATAGCTAACTATACAAAGGCTTATTCTGTTACAACTGAACATTTTGAATTCACCTCAGAACACATGGAATGAGATCACCATTAACCCAATCACAGTTCAAGAAGACTACCAACTATTAAAACCCACTATTTAGTACATTTGTCTGAAGAATCCCATTTTAAATGAATAAAAATCAGTAATTAGAGAAGTGTATTTCAAAACCATAAAGAAAACAAGAAATTATACTATTTTCTCAGAGTAACTACGTAGACAAAAAAGAAATGTTCTGAAGTTAATCAAGCAGAATATAAACAGAACCTATCACAATTACAAAGCAATAGTGTGGGTGACATTAGGGGGTTAATTTTGGGGGAAAAATCCCCGTTATTTATTAACCCCACTTTACGTTTTTTAAAAAAAAAATGTTAAATAATCACAATGATCAAAATAATAACACAGATCAAAAGATGTTACACAGAAATACGAAACTTTTTTAGAGTTGTAGCGTTCCGATCTGTAACGAGGCTATAGTATGCTGGTCCGACTCACTAGCTGGGCCCTTCTATTTAAATTCAGGACAGTTTGCACATCATATTATTATATGAAAAATACAATTGCGTGCATCATTAAAGAATGATGCATTATAGAATTAGACTGAGATGCATTTTCAGAAGTGTGAAACACACAACCAAATAAATAGAAGCTTTTTGAAGCCTTTCACAAAACGGAAAAGGGGAGAAAATTGCTAATAGAAAGTCTACTTTGAGATGGAAAAAAATACAGTAACTTTATTATTATCACAATTTCACAGACATTCCAGTGAATATCAGTTGAGAATTTTTTTCTCTATGTAAGCCTACTATAAGAAAAAAACACAAAAACTAGATTTTTTTGTAATCAATCGTTGTGTGGGCAATACATTAAATTTTCTGGAGTAAAGCTATAAGCATTTGATTTCTGTCGCTTAAATCACCATTTTACAATATATTGAAAGCTTTAAGCATGCATTGTGGCACAATATCCAATTTTGAGCAAAAATTATATCATATCCCTAATTGCACAAGCGTGGTAGCCATTTTATAGACCTGAATAACCATATATCAAAGCTGAAGAAGCGGGAAGCCCCATCTCTATATGAAGTTACCATTGAGAGCAGAATGCCTAGAAGCATATAAATTCATTTTCTATTGAAACCCGCCATATATATATATATTTTCGAGCTTGAAACATGTATGAATCAAACCGTCATCCAAAATTCCCAGACCTATGTATTATTTAACCACTCTCAAACCTTCAGAAACAAAAAACCTTTATTCCTATAAATTATCAGAATATTTGTGCTTATACAGCAAGATCACCATGCATTCTAGATAAAAGTGAGCACAAAAAATATTTTTTAGCAAAAAGAAAGGAAATCCTGTTTTACTGTTTTAGGCTGATAGCTAAAACTGTTGAGAAAAAAAATACAATGTTCAAGTTTTATTTTTTGATAAATGGCAATTCACGAATTATTTTTTTCCCATGAATTTATGAGCTTTCTACTGAGGTAGCGAAAACAGAAAATGATGTTCCCTATAGCTTCAAGTGCTTTGAAATTTCAACTTTATAATTTTCTTTAGGTGAACACCAAAATACAGATAGTGGTGTGAGTACACAAAAAATTTTTGACTACGAAAATACATGTTTTTGTGCTAAAACTACGACAGAACGATGATTTTACGAATATAAAAATGGTGAAGTCACCAAATGGAGTAATTGGGTCATATTTACTAAAACTTAACCTGAATAAATTCGTGGTGGCGCTATACTTTCATTTTAGAGTTGGAAACAGTGGTGACAAGTTTTTTAACAGCAAAATTCTCTGGGAAAGCTCTGTCAAGTGTTTTATTAATACGGCTCAGTAAATTCCAGTCATTGCTACGGAAACACGTGCCGACGAGCGCAGCAATGCGACGAGTCATATTCACCTTGACGATGACGCGCTGCAAATCCTTTATGTCACTATAGCAATGATGAAGTCATCAAGGTTTGTGGAATCTTGTAAAACGACGAGATTCCTCATGGACCTCCATCTCTGTCGCCTTGAAATCATTCAGTTCTTTCCTTATCATTGCCTAAGAAATAGATAAAAATTAGAAAATAGAATATTAGATAAAGTATACCAAAAAGAAAAGACTTCAAAAATAAAAGAACGCCAGGTAAGAAAAGATAAATTTTTTTTCTCAGATTTTGCGAGTAATTTTTATAACTTTTTTGTCTATATTGAGACGCTGGGTTTTTCAATAGTTTTCTAATTAATCAACTTGGAAACATCTCAGCTAGTGTGAAAAAAACTGTGCATGTGTCAGATCTGTGTATCAGATTTTAGCATTCTTTACTGGTATTGGCTTTAGCGCCGTATTTTCAAACTACTTATAGTCGAGATTGGCTTCAGCATCATTTTGCAAGCTATTTTGATTGAAAGCTTTTAAAACTTTCACATCGACTTAACGATAAAAATGAAAAGTTTAACATAATATTCAACTTAGCAATATATGCACAATTAGTAAATTCAAAACAATATAGTTTAGCCAAAGTCCATTGATTCGGTGGCCGAAATGATAAGCAGAAGGATGTTCGCGGGCCAAGAGAGCGTATATATACATCCCTAAACTGTGATAATGACGTAACAATTGGTGGTGGTGGAATCTCGAATGCAAAAAGGTAAAATCAGTTACTAAAGTTCGGCAGGCCACGGGCTGTAATTGGACCGCAGTTTGGGAAGCACTGGTCTATAGTCAGAGACAAATTTCATAAGAGCATTGAACAGAAAACACGGCTAAAGTAGTGCATGCATTACTAAAACTAAGCATATAACAACCACTTGATATAAAATTCATTTTATTTTGTTGTGAAAACTTACTTTATCAGATGGTGTTAATCTCGTCCATGGTTTATCAGCTCGTCTGTCATAATTTTGAACTTCATAAACTTCCACGTATTCGTGCCAATTTAAAACTTTACGCTCTACCAATTCTTTCACAGTTGGACGCATTGATAATTTACGCGTCAATTGTCGTTTAACCTGAAAAATACATTACAAACATTTTTTCAAAACTTGAGGTAATGAGGCTTTAATTAATAATATTTTCATACAAAATCATCATTTTATCACTCGAAAAAAGAGAAAAGGCGTGTCATCAAGCATTTAAAAAATAAAAAGCAAGTCCTGGTACACCAATCTGATGTCATAATATTTAACCATAATATTTAACGGTGACATCATAATGAACTTAGAATCGCAATATTGGTGGGTGTAACAATCAGATACATATGTAATTTATTGGTTACATGACATGATTAAAGGCACAATTCAAATTAAATGTACAAATTATTTTTTATTTTTTAACTAGCTTACTCTTTCTCTGTCTTGTCTTTTTTCATCAGCCGTAGCATCTGGCAATATATTTCTTTGTTGTAATTCCTCTTTAGATGGTCTCTGGCTCAACCGCCTAGAAAAAGATAGAAGAGATTTCAAATCTAACTCGTAAGAGAGGAAAGGAAGTAAAAAAGCAAGTGAGTGCAAACCAAGCCCTTGTATATTTACAAGCACGGGTCAGGTAATAAATAGTTAAGGAGTTCAGCTTTTAGTCACAAAAGGCATTTCTCTTATATAAAAAAATACATCTCAACACCAATTACCACGCACAAGACTAAATGCTCACTACTGACCTCGTGAGGTTGATTTTAACTTCGTCCTTCTCCGAGTCCGACTTTTGTGGGCTCGGAATAATATTGCGAGACTCCAGGTCTTCTCTCGACGGACGGTTGTTGAGACGCATGGCAAGCGTGTCACGGCGTGCGACCTTTGATGCGAGGCCCCCAACACCAACAGTAGAATCATCTGAAGAAAAAGAACAAGATTGAAAATAAATAATAAATTAAAATAATTTATTTTCAACCAATCTAAATGTAATAAAAGAAAATGTGTTTTTAATTATAACAAAAATCCTCCAGGGGGGGTAAAAAGGAATAAAAATCTCAAATTTTGAAACAATTAAAGATAATATGGATAAAAAATATATATTTCTCTTGAAAGTTTATAAACTAAACATTTTTTTAAATAAGACAAAGGCCCCCCTGGGAAAAAGGATTTATGAAGTTAACTCAATTTATTGTCTTTTTGAATAAAACTGGCTATTGCGCGATTTTGATGAATTTTCATTACACCATTTTCAATTATCCAATTTTCTTGGTATTTTATATCAGATAATTTTTGATATTAAATTGGAAAATTTTATTTCACAAAATCTTCAGTTTTAATTTATTATTTAAAATTTATCTTAATGAATTCATACAGACTTGTTCATGTATTTTAAAACTGTCAAGCGAAATTTTATTGTGATACCTTCCTAATTAATAATTCACGATTTAAATATGATATAATCTATTTTAGTAAAACAACAGCCATGATCTAAAAGTCACCAAAATATAATGACCACAAATGGTAAATTTATCTACACTTATAAATAAATGTTGCCGTAACCGGATTGTTTACACGGAATCAAAAGAGTTGGTTTAGTACAAAGATTGCTAGCCTAGCCTTTTCACAAAACTTCTATAAAAGGATCTTTAGTTATAAGCCAGTTCTTAGGGATATTGACTCAGGATATGTAACAGGTGGGCCATAACCCGGCCCATTTAGTGTGGCTCACCAAATATTAAATCGTAATCCGACAGTTTGTTTAAAGGCGCATGAATAAAAATCATTACAATTTTCCCATCTTTCGCCGTTTTTCCAGTGATTTTATTACAGTAAAGCTAAGCAATAACCGCATTCATCGTGAGAATTTTTTAATTTGTTGTTTTTTGCGTGGCCCAGCTTGATGTCTGAAGTTGGTTATTCTACATGGCCCGCTGATAAAAATTGTTGCACACACCTGGCCCAGGCAATCTGATATATCGTAGGCAATGTAGCGAGCGGCCACAGGCTTTGGATAAAGGCTTTTTACAAACTGATAATAAATCAGTTGTAAAGTTAAAACACACTTTGACAAAAGGCAAAAAATTTTTTTTTTAAGGCTCAAAACAATATGCCAAACATAAAGGTCACAAATGCTTGACGAATTGTGATATATAAAGGATATAGCAGGCATGAGGCATACCTTCTGTATGAGTATTTCTCTCTTGGGGTTTGAGAAATTACCAAGGGGATTTTAACAATATTAAATGCCGTACCACAAGATTTAATTCCTCAGGAATTTATATCTAGTTATTTAAAGTTATGTTTTATAAAACATTGGGTCAGAATGACGAAAACAACTTATTTTGTACTTTATTAGGAATGCTGTTTATTAAATAACTTCATAATTGATATTTATTAAATGATCACTTAGTGCTAAATTATTACCCAATAAGAGTATTGGTTTTTAGATATTATTAATCAGTTCTAATATTGTAAATAGAAAACGGATACCGAATAATTTCACATATGAGTAAGCTATATTTATGAAAAGGAGTGTTTATTTATTTAACATAATTATATAACCATCCGTTAGAATCATATGTGAATTATTATTCAGAGCTGGAAATGAAGAATCCTTCTCCCTAACTAAATCATGCTTTTGTACATTTTTTTGTTTTGCTGTGTCAAGAGGGTCTCTATTCATTATTTAAAAAGCACTATTATTTCAAATATAGTTTCCTTAAGATAAAAGTCAAATTCTTATACCAGAAACAAAAAAAAACTTTGAAATATCATACCTTTATAGTTTTTCCCTTTGAACAGGTTTTTAAATGATTTAGGCCAAGGCATAGACCTCAAAATTCGCGCTGCGAATACAATCGGGTTTGGCATTGGCTTTGCAGTACATTGACTGCGAAGAAAAAATAATATTGTTCCCAAAATCCTCTGTGAAAATTATTCTAATTATCATATGACAATAATCCAAAATAAAACTGGTATCTTTGTTTTATATTAAAACAGCACCTATTGAATAATATATGACATAACTGTAAAATAATAAATGATATAAGAATTGAAATTTTATTTTGTCACAACGATCATTATGTGTATAGTTGATACTTCAGAGTTTCATATACTGTCAGTCAGTGTCATTTTTGTCTCACAATACAATGACATATTACCTATATCGAGCACTTTTTTCAGACAGCTATTGAGTCATAAATTACAATCTGAATGTGTACATGATATACGTGCATTGTGTATCATATACATTTTTCTCAGAATATCAATGGATACTGATGCAGTAAACTTGCAAAATAGTTGCCAGAAAGCTAACAGATTAGTTTCTATTCATAAATTTTACAGTTAATTATTTATTATGTGTCTAAATCTGACAAAGAGGATGAATAATTACATTCCGTTTCAAAAAATGATAAACAAAATCTATACAAAGATATTAATGAGAATATTTTATTTTAAACTTCTCAGAGCGGACTTGAAACTCATAACGACAAAAAATTCTTAGAAATAGCTCAATACTCAAAGCGAAATACTCAAATTTTGAGTTTTATTTTATTTTTATCTGGTATTTTTGAGTAAATCAATTATAACACAAAATAGACTCAACTCCAAGATTCTCTCCTGATTCTAATTCTATTCAGATACAAAAATGTTTAAATCTTTAACAACTTTCTATAAAGACTCGCAACCTTCTATTACAGATCCTGATTTACCCCACCCTTATATATGTGTTCTCTAAAACCAATTATATTGTGATTGCGACTGTTTCAACACCTAATCCTTCTTCCCACAGTACACAACATGTCTGTTAAACGTGGTAAATATTGATGCCGAATTACAAAGGACTTTCCAATCGTCCGATCCGCATACCTCTGCATGAAATGCAGTGACGCAGATGACCGTTCCCTTGAGATCTGATAGTCTCGAGTCTCCATTGAATTAAGGCGACTTAAACGGTGTTGAAAATTTTTTTTGAAATAAGATAGTTTCCTTTAGACGTGAGTAAGACAATTGTAAGGTGTTTCACTTTGAGCTGGCGCTATTATCCTATTTTGAAGACGCTGTGAAAATATTGCGCACTTCTTCCGGAATATGGTGCCAAATACGTTAATGGCGGTTAATTCTACCTATAGAAACTAGAAAGTTCAATATGGCAGCCCCTCCGAGATTTTTGAAGAGAAAATAAAGACATGAATCTCGTCAATATTGAGGTGAGAATGAGGGGAATTTCAAACAATGATTTATTGATAACTGCTTTACGGGTAATTAGTAGGAACTAGGAAATATAATTTTGAAAAACATTTACAACCACAAAATTGTACGTAATTTCCCAGGTTGCAAGACAATATTCATTATAAAACCAGCATATAGTTTGACAATGTTAAAAAAAAACATGAACTTTTCTCTATAAAGCACAATACAAGACATAAAACCTCAGATATACCCCAAAATAGTTTTATTAGGAACCAGTAATTTTTCCATTCCGTGTGTATCTTGAAATAGATACAGTCTCGAGTCATACTATGGTATTCTATATATAATATCAAACTAAAAAATATTATTTTCTGTTTATTCGAGTAATCCTATATAGACTTTAATAAAACTGCCCTGAGAATTATATATCTTAATTTGTCCATCGCCTGTGAAGTAAACAAACTAAGACCTTATATTTTTCGAAAGATGAATATATAAAAACGATTCAAATCCCTAAAGGTAATTGTGTTTTTCGAAAAAGAATTCAAAATTAAGATCACAACAAAGTCGACATTTTAGTAAAACGAAACTGAAAGTGTCAGTGTCAATATTGTCAAGATAGGATTGATAGTTACAAAGCAAAATTGTGAGTTTAATAATAATCAATCTAGAGGACTTCCATTCCCTTACGAAAGTAAACAAAATTCCATGTAACCCTATCTTCCCGAAGTTATAAACATATTGATAACTGTCATATATGCAATTTAGGTAGGGGGCACTTCTGGATAATCCATTTTTTAGTTATAAGAATAAAATGGAAATTTCACTTTACATTTTATTTTGTTTATATTCTGATATTCTAAAAATAAAATGATCTGCTGATATAAGATAATAAATTTTTTGAGACAAATTTATACCCCACAAGTAAGATTTGAATCATTTTTTTCGAAAATTATATTCAATTGTGAAAATTATTCAGTTCTGAACTCTTCTCGACTTGACTCTTTGCCAGAGTGACCCGGGTGGGTTTGTTGGCAGGCATTTGCTCCAATGGCTTTATGAGCATGACCTCTAACCTGAGGGCTTGAAAATGACATGGCCATTCCAGAGGTTGCAAAAGGCAAATAATTCAACTGAGTTAGAGGTTAAAACTGCAAACTGACAAATTTGGCTCGGGAAATTTGAGAAATACTCTCCGAGTGAGACAAAAGAGGCTGGTTTGACCTTATGTAATATGAATGTATGAAAAACATTTTACTCATTTAATTTCAAAAGCCAGGCCGGAAAAGAGTCAAATCTGCGGTATCGAGAGCAACATGATACAATGGGACTTCTTCCAAATTATGAGATGTAATGTAATTGTCTTGTCATCGCTTCCCTCCTGTGGGATTTCAAATTATATTATCAAGGCAGGTATTGACGTGCATGAAATGTTTGCAAACGTTAACATCGTTGTACATGTCTAAAAATTGTCTCTGATACGCAAAACGGCTGGAGAACCTATTTAATTGATCACATATGTTCAGCAAAACATGGACTGCGGTAGCGGGATGACTATGAACTGATAATGCAGGAATTTTAAGAAGGCCAACCAACATCTGGTGATATTTTAACTGTAAATGACTTAACAAACATATTACTAGTACAATGGGATCACTAGAGACTGAATTATTCATAATAAAGTTACCAACCATATCATATACAATAATAATTCCACACATGTA